TCATGAATTTTAAAAAGGCCGAACTACAGAAAAAAAAATTCTGAAAAGACCTAAGTGCAAGCACGTATTTACTTATATTACTTATATTTACTTATATTTACTTATATTTTGGCTATATCTTGCCAAAACGATTTTTCATATATCGCGCGATTTAGCCATAAGTAAATACATGCTTGCACTTAGGTCTTTGTAGAATTTTTTTTCTGTAGTTCGGTCTTTTTAAAATTAATCATCGACTTCGCTTCGGTCTTTCTAGAATTACTACGACGACATGGTTCTTACAATTTCTAGTAGGGCAAGTGCAACACATAAATGCGGAAAGCTTCAAGACATTGGGAAAGCGTGCAAGAAAGGAAAAAAGGCTGGAAATCTGGAAAACGTGCAAGAAATGTAAAATTTTTGCTAGAAATGTGAAAAAGGAGGAAAATGTCAATTTTGACCAGAATTATTTTCCTCAAGTCTAACCTTTCCTCCGTTTGAGGTCCTTACATAGCCCATTTCCGAGAAAATATGAATACAATCTAGAGGTTCACTCACATTAGTTAAATTTAAAGTTATGAATAATGAAACTCTTTATGTACTTACACAATAAGGAACCTGGTATACAATTTTCTGGCTTCGGACAATACATATTTATTTACATCTTATGGCTTTATCGATTTCGTAATAACGAGCAGGTTCCGGTTTTATGCATGATTAGGCCGTAAATAAATAGTTTCTGATAAGTGGGAAATCACAATCCGTCCGGTAGATAATAATTATGTATCAAATAAATCAGTTCCAATCCTAATTTATGTATTGTTATATATTGTATGTATGTATGTAATAGTTAGATGGATATGTATGTATGTAGATATATATGTAGATCTTGCACAAATCTCACCAATATTACGCATTAAGACAGCCTATGTACATACATATGTATAACTAGATGTGTATTGCATCGGGTGGAGTCACATAAATACATTTGTATGTATGTACTACGTTCTGGTATTGATTTGTAATCATTCCAGATCGGATTGATTATAGATTGATTCTGAGTGGCAAGGATTTCATTACCACCGCATTACTGCGCTGTAACGCTGGATATTACAGATGCCGGTCGAGTCAGATAAATGTCTACTCCGGCCAGTAATGATTCAATATCAGTTGCCTAAGAGTGTATGTACTTCCAATAGACTGTTTTTTTTAAATTGCAATTGCATGTCCTCTTAAATAATAATTAAATTATTTCAGGCTTCAATGACAGGTTTTTTGAAGCAAGGCTGGTAACATTCACATCGAATATGCTTAGAGAAGGATTTATTGACGCGTGGCATTAATTTGTGATAATGTAGACATGGCGTTGTTAAAAAATTAAAATTTGCAGTCGTTCATGCATTAAAGCGTCACAACCATAGTTGAATAGATGTACTTAATAGGTGGAAATCTCTGTTGGCAGCGGAAGTTATGATAGAAAGTTGAATTGCAACCTGTTGTGTTTAATTAAAGATGCCCATATAAATAATTGAACCATGTATGTATGTAAGCATCAGCTAGATTTCATCGGCAACCAATGTGCAAATATTGACCAATCATCTATATTCTTATTAGGCATTATTTATTGCCTTTCAGCGATTATGTAGTGTATTCTACATCCCACTCAAAATTTCGTCGGAAGTGAGTCATCACAATTCTTTCGAAGTTACATAGATATAGATTCTTTTCTTCAAGCAATCCTGAGCGTGCAGACAAGTATGTAATGTCACAACCGCGCTGGAATATTCCTATGTATATGTATGTAAGTTTAACTACGTGTTCAATAATGAAGATATTATTGTGTCATGTATTATCATAATTATGTTAACTACACACATATATATGTATCAATTAGTTTAGAGCCATCCCGTACCGGGTTTCCTGTTTGTCATTATTTAATTTACAATAACTACATGTTTTGTGAATTACAAGTAAACTAAAAGTTTTTCATAAACTGTGTAGTTTTACCTTAATACATAATATGCAAACAAAGCGAAAATCTTATTATGTGTTTATCCACCTTCTTATCGTTCTTATCCAAATTGAGTTTAATTTGAACCTGCATCCTTCCGCTTAGCAGTAATTGTCTTGTTTTTCTCTAAACAAATTTCTCGGTTTAAATATGTAAATTTAGTGTTCGGTCTGTTTAACGATTGGTACATACATACATATGTCATCTAAATACAAATCGAATTGTCCCACCACAATTGACTCAAGTTCTTATCAATATAGTATCTCATGGGTTGAGAAATTGATAGGTAAAATTTCTGTCCGTATGAAATGATTACTGAATTTATTTCCCTATTCTACCTATTCACATCTGAATCAATTACGATATAAATGTAAGCTGTACCTAGATTATTTATTTATAGCTACGTATGCAAATCCTAATAAATTTTAAAAAATACAACAAATCATTAAAGCAAAATTGTCTTTTTCAGGTAATCATTACAATTTGTTGCAATGATCGAGCATTGAATTTGCCATTTGAATATGAGAAGGAGTATTATCGAAATTTTACTCCTTTCTGCTTAATAAATTTGAATATTAAAATTTAAGTAAAAAATGACATAATTTTAGGTAAATACATAATCAGAAATTTCGCTACACTTTCACAATGTCATTCAAACATACTTCTCGGTTCTACCTCATGATTCTACTGCAAATCTCCACCGCTTGTTGCCATCAGAGTCTAACTGATGTGCAAACATTAAGAAATCATCAGGATAAAATTCCTGCTAAAGCGAGCGAATATCTTGACCCATTTGAAAACTGTACGACAATGGTTTTCACTGTACAAAACCTCACGTGGGGCTCACTTACCAAACCCACACTTGGTCCAATTGTATTACTCAGTCACGCTGCATATAGCGTTTTGATACGCGGTAAAGCACTTTTTCACAGGTTCTCTTTACAGAGGCGACGAAATTCTGCCACGCATTATTGGGCAACATTTGCAATCATTCCTGAAAGGAGTCGCTTCTTCCCGAGAAATGACCTCATGCGACTGCCTATCTTCATCGATGCAAATTATCATTCGCAGTATTTCGTTTGGATGACAACTGCTAGACTCTACGTAAAAATGTATCTGAAAAGACACGACGTGTTACAAGGCCTCGGATCACGAGAGGTTATATTAGTGGACGCGACAAATTTAACGGGAGAAGATACACAGCTTCATATGAGTTATCATAACATGTACCACGTTGAGAAACCTCCTGTTGGTCTTGAGACTAGGTCTGTAGACTGGTACACGATAGATTGCTTCCCACCATCCGATTGCTTCTACCAGTTGGGCGTAGTTGGTAAAAATGTTTCCAAATTAAACAAATATTTCTGGGATTCGAAAACTAGGTTTAGTACGGACATAGCCTCTATTCGGTATCTAACTGGAAACTTTGATCACTCCCGCAATTACATCCGTGGAGTAGCGAACTTAACCAATCTAATTGGTTTCCAAGCATTTTGGATTTTACAGGACGTTCTAGTATACGACTTCACTAGTGTAATACCTCGTTATCACGTTCCACGGATCAAACGACTCGGGACGTGGAGTTTTAAAGGATTTTCCTTTCTCCTTTATGACGTACAAAAGTATAGTTTTGTATCGTGCTACAAAACAAGATCAAAATTCGACGTAGGTTACGCGCTAATTAGTCCATTCGATGTAGCAAGTTGGACGTACGCGCTGACTTTTCTTATCATAATGGTTTTAGTTTTAACCGTGATACATAATAAACCCGTTTCTGACGACGTACTTCTCATGGTTGGGATATCTCTAGAAAACTCGGTGCTACTATCACGAAAAATTTATGAGGCTACATTCCGATGCGACAAACATTACCTAATCGGTCTATATACTATTGTCGCGATCTGGATTATTTTTGTAGGAACGATTCTGACGAATTGGTACAAAACTTGGTTCACAATGGAGATGATTATCCCCACGATTTACCATTCTCCTTGGACGAGTGTTATGGATGTTGAGGGGGTTCATATTCTTATGCCTTTCTTCCTCCTTGACGCACAAGGTCGTGATATGCCGCCTAAATCAGATTATCTCCGTTACCAAAACTTCTACTATGAAATTTTCTTACAATGTGGGGATATAGAACGACAATTTACAGAATACAAACGCCTAGCTGGGTACAGGAAAATTGCTAAAAGTTTGTTTGAACTACTGGGGCATCATCTTGGTCAACGGTACAATTCAAAACTTAGAAAGGAGGGCATCCTTCCCGCATTGGCTAGCAACAAGAATCTGCCTTACAATAAAAGTGTATTACAGGATTTTCCCATTCAGCCAGTCGAATATAATAGAGGTGACAGTTATGGGGTAGTAAAAACTTTGTCGAGTTGTGGAAAAGTTGCTTTGATGGAGACGAAAGAAAATATAATCAAAATGACTAAGTATTTACAATGTAGTAAATGTTTTCTTAATGATAATGATAAAAGGATAAGATTTGTGAGTGGAGACGGCGACTCTTTCTTTTCTTCGTTTCCAGGTTGGACAATACTTTCGGTGAGGGATAGCTACGTAGAGAAACGTCTCAAAGTGATGATCTCGTCTGGAATTTGGTCGCATTGGGAATTTTTGTATAAGTTATGGAAACCTGAGAAGCTTCGGGATCACTTTGCTAATTGGACCAATCCAAGAGTGGAGAGGGTCTCAAAATTAGATTTTAGCTCGAAAGTTATAACGGGTTTCTATGTTTGGGGGATTTGCTTGATCATGTGCGTCTTAATTTTGAGTGCGGAAGTCCTGAAATATTGTATCATGTCAGGTCGTAATGACTGGATTCATAAACTGACCAAATTCTTAAAAAAGGGGCAAGGATTATGCTAAATTATGCTAATTTTTAAAATAGGAGCAAGGATTACATATGCTAAATTATGCTACATTCAAATTAGAGCGCATAATTATCTTATTTACGTTTAGATACAGAGTTGCAAATAGATAAATATGTAAAATTTTTGTCATTAAGAACCACTTTGCGATATAAGCTAAATAGATACATAATAATTTCTACAGAACCATCAGAGTATATTGATAAAATTAATTTACCAAATTTCTTGCCTAAATTTTCGTCGATTAATTATCGAAATTAATTATCATAAGACCTCCTGGGTAGTGTTTAAGATTTGAGAATGAGATACGTACCAATACAATAAATTCAACTTAAAAGGTTACAAAACTTATGACCGAAGTTTGAATAGTACTGAGCTTATTTTATGAATGTACCCGCGGCCCATTTAAATGAAAAGTGTAGTACGTACATGTCTATGTATCTTGGCATGCTTGGACAATAAAAGTTGTAGAAATCGAAATACAGCAGAATTTTAAATCCTTAATTATTTTACATTTAGCTCTAAATAATTTCATAACCCGTGTGGCCTTTAAACCCATTCAAAATCGAATCCCGTCCCAACAACAGAACTATCCGACTGAAAAGTAATCAAACCCACTCCAGATTCAAAAGTGGTCAATGGAGGCAGTGATGTTCCGCAAACTCTGAAAATACAACAAAATATTTTTAAGGGTTAATAGATATATCTATATCTATATCAATGTATGATGAGGTTTGAAAGGCTGGCAACAATGCAAAATTAGGCAGATGGGTAAATTGTGTTAATCATATAAATTACTAATTATACAGGGTGGTTAAAATGTCACGCTACAATGGAAAATTTTTCGATGGGAAAAATCCACAAATTTCCATTAGTTACCGAAATTTTGTCTCTAAAATGCAACATTTTAAGAATTTTGTCATCAGTTTTGATAATAATTTATAAAAATCTCAATCCCAAATCTTGTAACTAATGGAGATTTTGGGACTTTTCCCATTGAAAAATTTTCCATTGTGGCGTGACATTTTAACCACCCTGTATATACCAGAGCTGTAATCCCAAAACTAATCAAGAATAAGATAGACTGGTGTATGCTTGTTATTTGAAATTTTCAAAATTATATAGAAATATAGGGGTTCAACTTTTGTTACTAATGGATACTTGGGAACCCTTTCTTTTTGATATATTTTCCAATTTTGCCTTCTAACCTCGTAGTACAAGACTTGAACCTTACTTAGCAACTTGGACGTATTGGTTATTAAACCAGTTGTAAATCGTGACAGCGTCGTACTGACAAACGGAACCATATTCGACATCCATCCTGGTAAACATTACTGTCCGCTGGGCCGGAACAATGGGATTGATTACAAAGAGAGCATTTTCATTAAGTCTGTAATTCCCCCCACCAACGGGGTAAGAAATGTTGCCAATGTTCGTGTTAAGGGGTTGAAGACTTGTTAAGTCTTGTGAATCGGGAAACATGGAGGAGTAGAATTCTAAACGGAATCCGCGACTTGGAGCGTTTCCAACGTTAAGGGTGACAAGCGCGAAGCCTGAAGTGAGAAAATAGTCTTCGCCGATAGATGTCCTGTGTTCAAACATGTTCAAAAAATATTTATTCGTTCAAAGCCTTGGTAAAAAATATTCATTCATTATTCACTCATTCATAGTTTTTAAAAACAAAATCATTAATTACTCAAAATTTACTCATTGTTCATCATTCCTTCATTTTACTCAAAATTCAAAGGATTAAATAGATGAATTTCTCAACTTTCCTTATGTATACTGAGGGTTAGGCAAGATTATAGAACGTGTCGAAACTATTAATTTTTGGGCGAAATATTCGTTGCTGGATATTTTGAATGATTTCATCGTATTCCTCATCCATTTCTCATGAGGAATGAAGTTATCATTTCCAAAAAGCCGGGCTTTTAAAGCCGACAGCAGATTTTCTTTGAACCACTGTTCATCTAAAAGTTTGCAAAATGCATAAAAAAAATTTTATGTCCATTTGAAAAAAGTGTCGATCTGAAGTTTCAAATCAGAATTAAAGCACTGGAGGCACATAACCGGACGTAACTAGTTTATCTTTATGCAAAATAATTTAAATTCCAAATATTAAAAAAATAATGGCTGCGTACTGGGCGGTAATCCGAGCGCGGTCAGAAAAAAAGTTTCGTGTCAACCTCATATCTCCTGATTCTCGCTGACGTTGTGCATATCTTGATGATTAATTCAGTTCAGTGTACGCCCAGGGATCTGAGACTTCGTTGCCAGTTGATTTGGTATTGATAAAAAAATTATTGCCTTGTCCACATCAATTTTTCTCACGAGCGTCGGGTTTCTTACAGTTCGGGGAGCATGCGTTCGACGAGTGTGGCACCATCAAATTTCTTGCCTGGTTCCTTTTTTCAACTGAATCCTTTATTTCAGACATTGGGCCATTAGAAATGACAATTGTTTCGTCCTGGAGTTGGTTTAGTATTGTTTTGTACGTCATTATTGGTTGGCAAACTATTTTAACGGCATGGAGCTCTTTGGGGTCAATTTTTGGACCCATCTTTGACCCTCCAAATTTCACAATTGAGCTTTTTGGTAACGGTGCAGCTTGAACGAAGCTTCCAGAAAAGTTTCGAATATTTGGAATTAGCGCCATTGCTTAGCGTATATGGGCAAATAGCTACATGTTCTATAATCTTGCCTAACCCTCAGTAAAGCATTGAGTAAAAAATGCATGATGACAAAAAATATTCATTCAACAATCATTTATTCCAAAACAAGAATAAAATATTCATTCAATTTTCACTCAATTTTTGAATATAGAATGAATAATTTATTAATTCATCGTTAAATGAATTAATGTGAACATGCACATAGGCCTTTGTTGCCAACAAATGTTGAAATCAATTATTTTTATGTTAAAGGCTTTTTAGATTTGATGGCTTACATTCGCTCCTGATCGCCTGGTCGATTAAGAAAAAATTGAGTCAAGAAAAGTCCATCGTTTTCGCTAAGGCCGGAACTAGTAAGTCGGAATCGGAGGTAGGAATATGGAGCTGTTATGATCCAAACGCATCTCTGATCGGCACGGATGGATGAGCCGAGTTGGAACGAGATTTCGGCCGAGGTAGCGTTAATATGGCCACCACAAGTCGTAACTAAGCAATTATGTGAAATGTCAAAAGGTAAATTATATCTACAGGGTGGTTTAAATATCAGGCTGCAATGGAAGATTTTTCAATGGGAAAAATTCGCAAATCTCCATTAGTTACCGAAATGTTGCCTCTGAAATTCAATATTTTAAGAAGTTTGTCATCAGTGTTCCATAAGTTTTGATAAAAATTAATAAAAATCGCAATCCCAAATCCGTAACTAATGGAAATTTACGAATTTTTCCATTGAAAAATTGTAACCGGACATTTAAACCACCCTTTATGTGATACTGATTCCTAACATAAAAAGACCAAATGCACAACTTACTCGATTCGACGGGACTTGGATCCTCATAAACAGGAATCATATTGCTTCGAATCCACTGGCTAAATTGAGAAACCTTTGTATACACCCCGGGAAGATTTGGCCGGCCACAGCCCCGGTTCCAGGATACGATCCCGCATAAAGTTTGGTTATCTCCGCAAACGAGTGGACCACCAGTGTCTGAAGAGCGCAGAATTTGAATTTTGACAAATTCAACATTTGCTTTTCATAAATTAAAAAATGTACCTCCTTCGCATGCATCTTTTCCATCCTCGCCATAACAGCATCGATGGAACAATGACGCCGGCATGATTTGAATTACATTCCTCCTCATCTACCATTGGAACATCAACCTTCATCAAGTTGGATGCAGATGGACCACCCTCTGATAGGGAACCCCAGCCAGCGACGGTTGCTACAGCTGAGACGTATTTATGTGGTCAAAATTAATTAATCCTGCATGCATCCTTTGGTGTAATAAAACGATCGATTACCGGTTGGTGCAAAGTTGATGTCCGGAATAACGACGGGCTGCACGTACTCGTTAAATTCGAAAGGTGGAGAGACGTACAGGAGGGCGATATCGTTCTGGTTTGCCAAACCGCTAAATAGATAACCAAATTATGTTAAGGCTTGAGTCACATACTAACTTTATTATTTTATTCACATTATGTATATTAGGGGCCAGAGCTATTTTGGGGCATCAAGAGACATTTCGAACCATATAATCTGTTCGAATAATGAACGCGCTGAATTTAATATTCAGGACTGGTCTGCTTTAATTTTAACTAGATTAGTAGCCCGTCTAGACGGGTTTGGAGTAAGTCCGTCCGGGGCAATGTGAGACCCCATCGCGAGGTTCAACTGGTAACACACACACACCTCTGTACAATTCTAATTATGATCAATTTGAACATGAATAAACTTACGATTCAAAATCTGGATGAATTAAAAACCCAGCGACTTGACGCGTTTGTTCGGTGCCTTCAACCTCATCAAGGTTATGATCACCGGCGGTGATAGTACTATTGTAGGCCCATTGACCGCATTGTGCCGCCGTGACGACCCAGTCCTCCCTTATGATGGATCCCGCACAGCAATTGTCTCCGAGACGAAAGTGGACCAAAAATTTGAACTCGTGACGATCGGCTTCAATTCCACCAACAATCCTGCCATTGTTCAACTCATTCCGGGTTGTGTTTGGTTTAGGCGCGGCTATTTAAAGAAAATTAAAATTTAGCTAAAATTTAGTTATTTTTTTGCAATTGTTAATTGTGCATTTACCATCTGCTACAACGGCTAAGGTGTACGCCAAACTTAGTAATGATGCAATCCTCATTTTTGTATTGGTATGTATTATGTTAACGTAGATAAGTTACTCATCCAGGTTAGTTTTATATATATTTACGGACACTTGCGATAAGGTGATGGATGACGTGATAATTAATTAATTACTGATGCAATGGTGCTGCTTTATTTCAAAGTCCATTCCTACCTACACTCTAAATAATCTGGTTATTAAGCAGTAATTAAAATGTAACTATGGAAACGCCGGAATTTACGTATTCTCTGCAAATTATAAACGTCGCCCTTCTTCTCTTTTCTTAGGTATATTACTTTGCTTCAGGTATGCTGGTTGGGTAATAAATTATTACCAAGTACATACAGATGAATCTGAACATACGGTAACAGCATGAAACACAGTATGGAACATACGAATTCGATAAAAACCATGCCATTTCGTCGAAATGATTTCGATTTAGATTTTCACCCAGTGTTAAGGGCCTGGGGGAAGTTGCTTAGAAATCACGTCAACTTTGACGATAAAATTCAGCAATGCACAAGAGGACAGATTTTTCAAATTATGTTTAACTAGAGTAGAGGCCCGTTCAAGAACGGGTTCTAGGCCCCCAGAGGGGGGTGTGCCTATAGCGCAAAATCCCTAAACTTTAAATAATTTCCAGTAGAGACTTTGTCCCTTGTCATAGCGCATACATGGATCAAAGTGCCCAAGTCATGCTGTATTTCAATTTCCCTGGTTACGGAACAATCTGATTTCCCCCTGTGGGAGTGGCTGGATAGCTAACCACTTAAATTCTCACGTTCCACGCTCCCATTAACTTCCACAAACCCCGTTGACTTCCACAAACCCCGTTGACTTCCACAAACCCCGTTAACTTCCACAAACCCCGTTAACTTCCACAAACCCCGTTGACTTCCACAAACCCCGTTAACTTCCACAAACCCCGTTAACTTCCACAAACCCCGTTAGCTTCCACAATCCCCTTTAACTTCTACAATTAACGCCAAGCTATTGACGGCGTTGGATTCAGCGTCAAAAATACATTCGAATTGATATGCGACATCACGAATAAGCAATATTTGAACCCCACGGTCACGGGGGCCTCGCAGGTCAAAACCATGGACGGCGTTGGATTCAGCGTCAAAAATACATTCGAATTGATATGCGACATCACGAATAAGCAATATTTGAACCCCACGGTCACGGGAAGGTCACGGGGGCCTCGCAGGTCAAAACCATGGACGGCGTTGGATTCAGCGTCAAAAATACATTCGAATTGATATGCCACTCGCTGTGGGTGGAGTTTCTCAAACTAAAATAATTAATTAATAGTGTTTATCAAGATTACTTATCATGATAACCACTATTGATGAGTGACGTATGTATGTATGTATACTGCTCACTCACTCAATTTACTTGCACACTGTGTTTATATACAAAGGCATTTAATTTGAGTTTGATGGCAAGTGTACGTACGTGAAAGTCACGTGCAGGCGAAGTTCAGACTCATGCAGTAGGGAGCAGCATTTTCATGCATGCAATTCACTCCGCGTCCTTCTTTGTCTTCTCTACGGGGCAGCTTGCATCGCATCACTCCTCGGTCAGTCAGGCAGGCAGCGACTTAACACTAACGCTTTATGGAAGTTAGATGTGTTAATCATATCTTTAGGTTTTATTTTAAAAAAATTTGACGATCTGTCCTCTTGCGCGGTGGAGATATTTGGGTATAAAGTCAGCACAAATTGGTTTAGAATTACAAAATTGATGGCATGAATTGTATTGAGTAGCCATGGAACCCAAGAAAACAACTTTGTTTACAAAACTTGAGGGCAAAGTGACCAAAACCAAAGCTTATGAACGTGAACGTGCTATAGAAACGGTGTCAATTAATCGCGGTCGTAACCTTATGGAGGGATAAATAATCTTGGATCCCTAGAAATTATTGTTGCTAACATAAAATCAATTTTCTAAAAGCAAATCTTCCCCCGGCCCTTAATAAGAAAATATTAATGATCGGTGCAAAATTAATATCAAAATTATTAACTGTCCGGATTTCTAAGTAACTCCATTGCCATTGAATTACTTAGAGTGTACGTAATATTCGTTCCAGAATAATGTCATGATAATTATTGATTGATTAGTCACAAGTACATATGATGGCAAATTGAAAATTTGGACTTTCCATTTCGCAATCTGATTTCTCAAACAACACGAAGCACTCAATTAAGAGCTTGTTACACAAATTGATCTGTCATAGCAAGGCAGAATGCGCCTGATATCAACATATGTTGATACCGTTTTACATATTAGACAGCTTAATTAATTAAATTAAGTACAGATGAATGTAAATATGTAAATGTCAGGCGCATTCTACCTTGGAATGACAGACTAATTTGTGTTACATACTCTTTACTGAGTGCCTCGTGTTGTTTGAGAAATCAGATTGCGAAATGGAAAGCCCACTTTTTCAATTTGTCATCCTACTTCTAACTAATCAATCAATAATTATCATGAAATTGTTCTGGAAGTATCTGGAACAAATATGGTGTATGTACACGGCAGTTTTAATTATCCTCTGGATAGTTGATTTATTGGAATTTAACAGTTGGACCGGCTGGAGATGATAATGTAATTTTTTAAATCAAAACTGAATAAATATTAATTTATTTAATATTCATGAAGAATTAATGCATAATGGTATTCATTATTCATTTTACATTGTTCTTAATACACGAGGTATATTAAAAAGTCGGATTTGAATTTAAATGCTTATTTACCTCAAATTTTACATACATAAATAGCTAATTAATGAATGGGCAATTTTTCCCAAAATGCTTAAAAACCTGCGACGATTGTGGCGTCGAACTATTCCTCCTTGACGCACAGGGTCATGATATGCTTGATGACATGTTTTGAAACATATTTAAACAGAGATGTTGATAACATAATGTATTTGCTAACTTAAACGCTTGAATCGCGATTGAAGTGGAAGATTAAAATTTGAAGTTAGACTTAATTCAGTTAACGTAAAAAATTGAGATTAAACTTCTTGATTAAAATTACTGAATTTGTTGATTAAGATTATATCATATAATTTATATGCATGTAGATTAAGATTAATTAATCTTAACCATTTCAATAAAGATTTTCCCCAGTCTGCGTAAATATGTACATTGGTATGTGGAATGCAAAACACACACTGTCAAATTTTTATTGGCGGTCAGCTCATTTGAATATTTTGCCGCATTTAAGGAGAGCATAGAGTTTATGCAACTAAAGTAAAGCCCTATCGCGGAGGATGGATATAGTGAGATTTATGCAAGTGAGGTGACCGCGACACGCCTAAATACGAGGAGAGTACACAATTTCATGAAAATCCCATGAAAACTGACGCGAAGCAGCGTGCAGAGAAAATGCATGAAAAGAGACGACAAAGAGAGCGGCAATCCACCACGTCATCTGCTCTCGACTTTCACTCCATCAAAAGTTTGTTTATATTATGTATTATTGCAGAAAATTAAATAATTTGCACAAATATTTGCAACATTGTGTTGTCTGGGCTTATAAAAATTTAGCAGATCTTAGAAACCTCCCAGATTATGTAGCTGTTTAAGATACAAACTACTTTATTTACACAATAGACAACATTATTTAAGGAGTAAGTTAATTATTTAATCAATTTTTGTCGAAAATGGTGCAAATTTTTCCCTCAACTAATTTATCCCCTTACGTCCACCTCACTCGGGACGACCGGGTTGAAACAGCGGTGCAAAATTGGCTCAGTAAGTCAACCATTATTTTTAAATTACTTAAAACTAACTTGAAATTTAGCCATTAAATCCTTTTTATTTTGCAATTAGGACAAGAAAGTGAGAAACAAGATGCCAATTATTGTTTCCTTTGCTCATCTTTAATTCAAGATTCGAGATTGCCCTTCTCCGCATCCCTCGTCGCGGAACAGATTGCGCTTTGCAAAAATTTCCTGATAGAGCTTGACCTCGCCAATTATTCAAATGAGATCAACCCTGAATCAATATCGTGCCAAAATTGTATCCAAGAAGTTTGCAGAGTGTGGAATTTACACGAGGAAATATTAATTATAAGGAGACAAATCGCAGAAATTTTGTCCAGGTTGGTACAGCAGAGAAAATCAGGTAATTATGAATATGAACGGTTTACTATAGTCATGCAAATTTGTCTGTACATGTGAAATTTTACTTCTAACAATAAGAAATTAGAACTTTAAAATTATCAATTCAAACAGTCCTTGGGAACTTTGTAAATCCATGAATTTTGTAAAATTGCTATGTAAACTTTTGCAACCGCGATCGGTGTAAGCTTGCCAAAAATTGGTGAGCTATAGCTATTTGTAAGAAATGTAGGTAAAATTTTGTAAAAGTTCGTATGCCTGCGAATTTTACAAGGTTACAAAGGACTGCGTGGTGAATTGCATCATTGTCAAAAATTCCTTTTCTTCCTGAGAAATTTGTTCATACTATTTTTTGCAGATTTTCTTCCTTCCATTTCAGATTCCAATAATCCCGTCCCCCTAAATGCTAATCATGGCTCGGAAATAAGCGCGTTTGACGGTGCGATCCAATTTTTTGGGAGAGAAGTCGAGGCGACGAGGGTCGCAATAAATGGCCCGACCGGAAATGAAGACATTGTTCGCAGCGTTTTTACCGGTGGACCCCCTGCAACTCTTGGGAACGACACGGTATCAAATAACCTCGTCGTCACGGTGAAAGTAGAGCAGCCAGATTCAGAAGATGTGTTGGCAGTAGAAGTTGAACCTGGGTAAGGGAACATACATACATTACGTGGTCTAAACTACGCCCTGTTTTAGACCAACCACCCCTTCTATATCCTACGCCTGAGCTTAAGTTGATAAAGATAGACGATCAATTTAATAACCACCCACCCACATTTTTGATGTAATATATGGATGTTCCCCTGAAGAGAATTTGAAAAGTTATTTGGGCGGGCAATTCGTAGGCCTTAGTTGGTTGCATTGTAAAATCATCTTAGAAATCTTATTGTTTAAAAAAGTTCAAATTTTTGACAAAATTATTAGGTGTTATCTGGATTAGTAATACATATTCATTGAATTTAGTATTTATGTAAGAGATTCTTTAAAGGTGGTGATACTCGTATGCGACGATTAAGTTATGTTTGCGATTTTTGCCAAATGGGCACTTAAAATACATTTTAATAGTAGTGTTTTTACATAAATATACCATGGTTAATTTGGCATTATTATGCGAGGGGTGATCAATAAATTATGTCGCGCATAAATCGCAATTTTCTACACTCCCCCCCCCTCCCCGCCGTTAGCACGAGGGGACAGTTAACCGTTGACACGTGATATCGTACCTATCGTACCATGTGTCACATAGGCACGATATCATTGGAGCCTTAGACCTTCCCTACCCCCTCTCACGTAACGTAATTTATGGACGGTCCCCAATACTGCAACCCAAACAATAAAAAAAAATAGAAACGAGTCCGAACAATCAAGATTTTACCGTGATTTTTAAATTTCTAATTGTCAACGAACTAAAAATTTGTATTATGAAGATGTATAAAACAGTAAAACTTATGCAATATCGTTGCCAATTGATTTACAGCCCGGCTCCAAACGTACCGATGTTCAGGGACCCTCAAACTTGCACAAATTATTCTCGTCCTCGCCTCAAGAACAAGAACAAGATCAAGAACAAGAAGTGTGTCCACTGCGGGAAAGCGTTTTCTAACAACACCCTCCTATCCAAGCACACCCGTGCCTTCCACGATAAGGTCAAGTACCCCTGTTCTGTTTGTGGGAGGGAGTTGACCACCGCGCGGCGTTGCGCGGCGCATGAAGCCATCAAGTGTGGCGTGGTCCATTCCCCAGCCGAATTGAAAAGGGTGGGCCTCAAGCTATGGAGGTGTGAGTTGGCCTGCTGTGAATACGTCTCTGCTACGGAGGGCGACTTGAAATGGTGAGATGAGATCAGGGCTGGGCAAAATATTTTCATACAGTGGGCGTACTCACGACAACTGTAAATATTTCGCATCGAAATTAATTTAGGAAAATTGCGAAGATTAAAGTATTTCTGTGTTGAGGGGGTTAGCAAAATATGACTTCGAAAATCTACTAAAAACACCTATATATTTTGATTCGTTTCCTTGGATTTCTGTATTTTTTGCGGGTGATGTTGGGAATGACTTTGCGAAATACTTCATTTTGCAAAATAAAAACATGCCCAATTGCTGGGTAAATTTGCGAAAAATAGTCCACGGTTTTCCAGCAAAATTTTTGCGAAATCTCCCATAACTTTGTGAGTTACATAATATGTTGCTATGCTTAATTTGCGAGACATGCGCACGTTGATGTGAGAACGCTCAGTATTTCGGAACGAATTATTTTAGACTGTACAAAATATCCTTTTTCACGAAGCTAATATGCAAATTTATGCATTTTTTTAATGCAAACTTTTTACTTATTTCAGCCACGTCTTAACCATACATAAGAACGTCTTCAGGTGTTCCTCGTGTGATTGTAATTACACCTCCAGTCAAGAACTCGCCGTGCATGAGAAGCTGTGCAAAATTGTGGAGACACTTAAAACGGGTATGTTATCTGCATATTTATGTAAATTGTGACGTAAAGTGTCAACGACATCACAAAGATAACGTCCTATACTTGGAAATTTACATTAAGTAAATTGTATCAAATCCAGAATAAAGTTTATTATGGATTAAGCATAGTTTATTTAATCTGGGTGCATTTAAATAGTTCTCAAAAAGGCAACATTATTTTTAGAGTGTACGTAAGCCACTCTTCCATTTTCAGGAATACAATTTTAGAGTAAAATGTGAGATTTTTGTAAAGATTTCTAGTCCGAAATTGTACCCTCAATCAAAGAGCAAAACGGTTACACGATTCCTTCAACTTTTCAGGCAGTCAACCCATCAAGATCGAGACGGAATCGAGCCCCAACTTTTACGAAAGTACGGAATCCCCCTCCTCCGCCATTGATATAGTTCAAAGTATTCTTGTTGGGGAACGTATCGCTGAATTGCGGCGCAAATCTTCGACCTCTCAGTTAAACGGGTGAGTCAATTGCTTTGTTCTCATTTGGTAAAAATACTAAAAGCAAGTAATTATTATGCGTGTTTCTGTATTAATTTTAATGCATGTAGATGCACGCTACGCGAAAATACGGAATCCTCCGCCACCTCCTCGATTGATATAGTTCAAAGTGTCGTTGTTGGCCAACGTATGATCGCGGAATTGCTGCGTAAATCGTCCACGTCTCAGTTAACTGTGTAAGTCGAATGTTTTGTTATCATTCTGTAAAAAGTAATACCGAGTAACACTAGGCAGTTATTTATCTACCGTGTTAGGCATATTCCGGTAGATTAGATTGTTTCGTTGGTTTAGAAGTAATGTTTGATCGGCAAAATGTGGCATGCATAGAAAATGTAAATTTAATAGAACTAACGAAGTCTTGAACCATGATTCTCCAGAATTGAACTCACGAACTTTACATTGAATGATATTTAGAAAAACTCAAAAATATGGGTCAATCGTCTACTTATTACATATTTAGTCATTAACAAACTTATTTAAAATCCATTACCAAAGTTTCAGAGCAAGATTTAAATACTTTTCTGGATTTATGTTACCCATAAATACATACGTTGTACGTTGTCCCAGATTATAAACTACTTTTCTTATTTGCAGACCTGAAACCAGGAAGAGCGAAATCCCCAATACCCCCAGGGATGTCCCCCGTAGTCGGGTCAGTCTTCTGCAAAGGGGTGAAATGTGCGAAGAACTGAACACGTATTACGCCCAGCACAACCTTACCGATTACAGTCGGGCAGCATATTATAAAAAGAAGTGCCCCTGTTCCGTCTGTGGGATGTGGTTGTCGTCCCCGAAGGATTGTGCGGCTCATGAGGTCGTCATGTGTAAAGTGGCCCATCCTCCCGAGTTGTTGGAGAAAATGGACATTAATATAGTCACGTGCCCTCTGGTGGGTTGTGAAGAGTTGTTTTGGAGGGAAAATGACTTGGACAAGTGAGTGTTTTTTTTATCATATTGAGGGGAGGTCCATGAATTTTGAGAATTTCAGGATAGGATCGTGTCAATCAAAAATTTCCTCAATTTTTTTTGTAGAATTTATGCTGATAGAGTTCGGTAACTCAAGAAAGATCGAGTACTCAGATCTACCATAAAATGCGAATGAATATTTTCAATTGATAAGTAAAATAGTTATCATTAAGCTAAATAGAAATGCTACCTAAAAATCCCTGGCTTTCATTTTATGAATGATCCGAGTATTTTATTTTTTCACTGATAACCTAACCCTCCACGCACTTTCTCAAATCTTTCAAAAAGAGTTTAGGATTTTTTTACTGACATTACCTTATCTAGAAATTCTCTAAGGATACAGTCAATGTACCCTGATAGCGTGGTTGTTAATTATTTGTCTTTATACAGTCATGTCCTCACCAGCCACAAAAATAAGCAAGCGACGACCTAATTTCACCAGGAACTTAGACCTTTACACTTGAGTAAAATGCCGCAATCCGTCACTGTTCACAATCATGTATTCGATATAGAATTAATACATAAATAATTAATCCATTATCCAATAAATTGGTTAATAGTTAGGGAATAATTTTTTCAAGATTTTTGAATCAGTGAATATTGAATGGATTTATTTCATATTCATTAAGAATGAACGAATAATTATTATTTTCACCTAATGCTTATCGAATTTGAGATCAAATTATGTAATAGTAAATGAATATATTTACTTTAAAATTTTGAATAAATGAATAACGAATGAATAGTTTATTCATGGAAATTTCATTTCATTTTTCGTTTTCATTAAGTAAAATGTTATCCTACGCAAGATATATATACATATTTAAATACACATGAGTAAGCATGACAATATGTAATATTTTGCTGAATCAATTCAAAGTTAATAAGGCGCCGCGATAAATATTTAATTAACAATAATCGTAATGGTGGTTTAATGGCAATATTCTTCCTTGTAATTCACGTTGAAATATACATACGTACCTAAATCGCTTATCCTTAGTCGGACCAGGCATTGATTGTTAATTGGGTTTGTATTGAATTGGGCCCAAATTGTTTAGAAATTGTGGAACGACATTTTGAACCAGGGTGAACATTTGGATATGTGTACATATTTTTCCTTAAAGGTATTATCCGCACTGAAAATATTACTTATTTCTTACAGTTTACAGTTTATACATGTATGTAATACATATGTAGGTAATAACAACATGCCAAACCATATATTTAAATGTATTATCATTAAACATTGAAATTGAAAAAAAGTAATACAAATTTTCAACTTCCCGTCGAAGTTCCGCTTTAATTACTACGTTGCTATTAAAGTTTTATCACAATTTAAACGTCCTGGCAATATTAATGCCCAATATTTCCACATGATTTAAAAGCGAACTTGATTCATCATTCAAAATAAATGCAGCTTTTTCCTCCAACTCGGACCCCACAAATTTGCAATGATCTTGAATTTGTTCCCAATTTTCCTCCCATCTTGCAAAATAGTTGAATGTTCCTTTTACAGGTTCAGTATCCCAAATATTGTTGCGGACCTTGTTGTTTTCGTCATACCCATTCCTGTCATTCGTTTTAATTGCATAGTTATTATTTAGAGCCTTCCAAATAGACGATTTGGACGAGTCGGGTGAGTTTCCACCAATGGCAGAGTAGTTTGCCTGACCTAAAATATTAATTGAGACGCATTTAATATTTAAAACAAGTTAATACTGTTTTTTTTTAATTTTCCACTAACCCTTAAACCATCTATTGCATTTCCCATGCAACCATCGAGCCCCCACTTGTTTCATTGTGGGTTCTAAGGTTTCGTATTGAAAAGTTTTCAGTCCTTCCTCGACGATTTCAGAGTCCAAATTACTTGTATAAGTTTGGATAAAAGCTTCACATCTTGTTGGGTCCAGTTGTTCTGTGTGGGCTGAAACATGTTCCCTTTTTTTCTCCAAGACAACTGCCTCGTCTTCGAAATGTTTTGACAGCTTATTCATGTACTCTAAGGTGAATCTTTGGATAGTATTTTCCAAGCTATTGCTTAAGGATGAAAATAATGTCTTCAAGATGTTATAGAGCTGAAGCACCTTGTCAATGAACCCATGGCCTAAAGCTGCGCCTAGTTTTTCTGATACTTTACACGCATAGAAGCTAGCCACCTTCTGTAAAGAATTCTGAAGTTGATGGTAGATTAGAGATGTGGTGGAAGATGTACCAAACGCATTCTTGGCATTTATCACAATATTCTCAGCCTGGCCTTTTCTATAACTTGATTTATAGAGTTGGCCAAGGCTGTTTTTCAATCTTTCCTGTGCCCTAAAGAATGCCTGACTAGATGTCTTCCATATGTCGAACGTTGTTTTAGCCATGGTAATCACGGATCCACGCAGCATATCTAGTCCCTTTTCTATGGTCATATTTAAGAGGGAAGTACCCACGCCTTGTACAACGTAACGACCAACTGTCAGTACAGTCTTTTTAAAAATTTCTTCTGCTATTTCTAAAGCAATTATGGTTGCCCACGATCCGCCTGTTATTCCACCCAGTCCCCCCGTCGCCAATGAGCAAGCGACACTGAAAGCCTTATGAATTCCATAACTTTTCCAGGAAAATGTTCCACCCCATCCGGATTGTATAGCGAACATGAGGTCACTTCCTCCCTCACTAATCAACATCATTGATAAGTTAACTAATATCCCGCCCGACAAGACGCCAACTGTGACACCTGCAGCAATTTGTAATATGCCCAAAATTGAGACATAAAATGCTCCACTACTCCACCAAGGTATTTTCTCCCTAAGGCTGGGAATTCTGTCAAAATCTTCACTCATGAGATCAAATAATTCTGGAGGAAGGGAGGAACTTCCGGTGTAACATTCCGACAAATGTTTGTACTGTTTGTCAATCTTCATGTACTCCAAGGTTTTAATTTTTCCCACGGAATTTATTAGAAGGTCTGAGATTTGGTCAAGGTATTCTTGGAATTTGTCATTTATTTCGTCCTGAGTAATTTTTTCATCTGGGTCATTTAGGTGAAATTTATTAAACGTCTTTCGAAGGTCAGATATCAGTACAGAATCCTTATAGATTTTGATGAAATGAAGGGTAGTCGTTTTCCATTGGAATTCAGCTTTGATTTCATTCTGTCGTTTATCTTCCTTTTGAAAATGAGACGACAGAGACCAATTGACTTTAGGACGTTTTAGAATTCCACTTGAGATTAGGATATTAACAATATCACGGACTTCATTGTCTCTCGAGTTACTTTGTGGATTTATTTTTAGAAATTTCGAATCCAAATTGGGACAAATTTTTCCATCAATAACAACCCATGAGAACAAAATGGAATGAATAGGTTGAAGGGAAGGAGGGAGGCCGGTAAGTTTTTCATTATCTAGTTTTAACGAGTTGCAGGCATTTGCAGATATATTTCCCTTTATGTGAAACCGTTTAATTAAATACCCACCCTGAATCAAATTTTTATATAATCTCTTGGAGTCTTCTATTGATAAAAAATTTTGGAACTCCGTCAATATTTCCTCTTCAGGCACGGCTTGCATATTCTTTTCTCCAAGAATTTTCCCAATGTTTTTATAATGTTCATTTGTTTCTTTGAATTCAGAAACAAATCGAAAGTCGTCAAATCCTATTTCAATAAGAATGTACTCCTCGGTAATGCATAAAAATTCCGATTTCTTAATCATCTCGATGACTTCATCCCGCGTGACGATGACATCCTTCAACTGCTCAATTTCCAAAACTCGGGATGATGAATTTATCAATTCTTGTAGAAGCGGCGAAAGTTTTGGTTCCTCCAGACTCAGATCGAGCACCTTGAAATCCAAAGGGTTGTCACCAATATACAAGGTATTTTTACACATTCTTACTTTCATGCTGAGTCTGAGTGGTTTTATTATGGAAGGAGATACATGACGAAGTATCACTTCTAAAATGTCTCTACTCTCTGCCTCATCTTGATGAACCATTGGTATCATTTTAAACGTGTTGTCATCGAAACAGTGGCCTAACGATGGTCTCAGAAAATGGTCAATATGTTGCTCGTATAAATGAATTTCCGCTTCAATTTGGTTCCTAAACATTGGTACAATGTTCCTCGATTCTACTGAAGATTCATCGCTGCTACATAATTTTTGCATCATATCAAAGAAGCCTAAAAGTTCTTCCAAATTGCTGATTCGTTTCTCAATCCTTACTTCGGCCTGTTTCAAATCATGTCTTGCCTGCTGCCTGGTCATGACTAACTTTTTGCTGCAATCAAGCTTCAAGTATGAAATTCCTCGATAGTAGTACAATATTTCATTGAACTCCTTTTCGTTTTGCAACCCTTCCGTCAAGATGTCAATCGACTTGGTATCTTCCCCAATCTCGTCAAACACTTTCGAGACCTTTACAAAATCTGAGGGTGACTGACAAAGCGTTTCGTTAGTTTTCATAATCTTAAATAGATCCTGGGTAAAGTGGTCAAATTTTTCAGTAATCACTTGTTTCTTCTCGTCAGGATTATCGTGAAGAAGTTGTAATAGGGGCTGAATGGAATCAAGCCAGAACGCCCAGCGATTGATTATAATGTGCAGCTTTGTTTCGATTTCTTCATTCGATAATTTATTTGCAAATTTGAATAAGTATGCAAAGCCTGTTTTGAAGTGAGCGGGTTGTTGTAATTCGCTTTTAATCTGCTCGAGTTTCTTAGCAAAACGGGTGAATAGCTCTTCTTCAAATTGGATTTGTTGTAATTCTCGCTTCCTGATATTCCTCAAGCGCGAATCTTCTTTGACGCGCATTACTTCTTTATAATTTTCTATCTTGAATTCAAATTCAGTGTCCTTAAGATCCTCCACAAGCACAATATATTCAGTTGACCCGTTTTGCCCACCTCTCGCTGTTCGCCCGAAAGCTTGCTTCTCAACTCGAAGATTTGGTGGAATAAACGTTAAGACGACGTGAAGTCCTTTGGCATCGCAGTCCTTGGAGATGTACACGTCAGTTCCTCTCCCAGCTAAATTAGTGGATATTATTACGTCTCCATACGTAATGGCTATGGTTTCCATTCTTCTTCTAAACTCGTCATATTTTTCAGTTTCATAAATACAGAATAGATTTTCCTCTTTGACACATTTCTTCAGCATAGAATATAACTGCTTACAACTCTTTACGGTTTCACAAATGAAAAGAATTGGCTGTGTCGCTTTCCTCTTGGCGACTGATGCAAAAATAGCACACTCATATAATTTCCGTTCAGATGACTTAAAAAGCTGGGATGATTCTTTCTTGCACAGTTTCGCTTTAAATCTTGGCATCTTGTAAAAATCCACAGTGTATAAATCGCTCAACAATTTGGTCGCATTTTCCTCGCCGATTGTCCCTGTTATTCCAAAAATTCTACCCTTGAATCTTGAGAAGTAGCCTACATTGGAGACAAAGACCGCCTTAAGACTTTCCGATGATAACTTGTTGCCTTCTTTTAATTGTAGGAATTGGTGGAGGCCGTATGAGTATTGTGTCTGCTTTTGTTCAACGCCAGTATCACTGTCAATTATAGTAACCTTACCGTCGTCATCATTTCCCGATGCCAAAATGTACGGAATATTTTGCTTCATTTCTTTTGCTTTCCTAGCATTATTAATCCAAATTGGAATCCTGTCTTGGACAAATTTTAGCAGGAAGTGAGGGAAGTGTAGATGTTTTTTGCTAAGTGTATATTTCATTTTGATTTTTCGGCTAATAGCAGTATCCGCACTATCTGATGTGTTGGATACCATCCTCCAAATGTCAATAAAGATAATCCTAAGCCATCTCAATTCTGGAATGGTGTGAGAAATATATAATACATTGGATCCTTTATCAAGTAGCATGGAGTCGACTTCATCCACTATTAAGTAGTCAGCATTACTTCCCCCCTTATAGTTCTTTTGGAGATAAGAACAATTTAAGTGATCCGCCTCGAATGATGCTGCGTCGCCATAAAGGACTTGATTTTTGTAGAGTTTTTCAAGCATTTGCTCGGAGGAAGTGGTCCCTTTTCTCGCCTCTTTTGATGAAATATTTCCCACACCGATGTTAAATAGAGAATAAAATCCTGACATGTTCTGAAAACCATCCTCGGCTAGTACGGATGAACTTGTAACCAGGTAAACATTATTTCCATCCAAGGATAAGCAAACGGCGAGAACGGCAGATATTAAAGTTTTTCCTTCGCTAGTTGCAATTTCAGCAAATCTTCCAACATTTTGCAATTTTGCGTCGACAAACAACAGCACGGCGCAGAGTTGAGTGTCTCGCATAGTGAATTGGTCATCGTTATTGTGAATTCTTAAGGCACGGCAAATTACGGCAAGTAGTTCTGATTTTATGTCAGATTTTAATATACTTGTGTCTTTCTTGCGTAGCTTGACAATATTAACCCATTCAGTAATGTCTTCCCGGGTCCAATCTTGAATTTTTCGCTCTTTTCTTGCAAGCTCCTTGAGCTGTGATTTCTCGTGGAAGCTACGCCTCGCTTCTCGTAAATCTTGATGTAAACTTTCGAACTGTAATTTCGGATTCGATTGATTTATAGCAAGGTTTTTCATAGCAGTTATTAATGCCTTTCCCCTCACTTCTTTTAGTCGATATGAGTTGGTGAATTCTTCGAGATATTTTAATATGGAGATAGTATCATGTTTTGTGTTGAGATCTGAAATGAGCTTGGAATTTATGACGTAGTTTTTCTCCAAGATTTCGTTGGCGATAAGATGCATATCAAATTGGCATATATTTTGTTTGACAAAGTGAGATACTAAGGATTCAGTGTCGGACCTGAATTTCTGGTCGATCTCTAGCAGCTTAGTAATAAGCGTAGGTTCTGCACAGGAAATCTATAAATAAAATTAATACAATACTCAAAATTATCCATCGTCTATGAGACATTATTTATGCATAATCCAAAATTTTGCAATTTACCAATTCCGTATACACCTTGGCTCGGAACTGAATTTTCCATTTGTTAATTGGAAATGACGCCCATTTACTAATTATGAACGTCTTAGTTTCATTATCAGAGAAGTTTTGTTCGTCAAATATATCAAATAGTAGAGCCATAGATGGTCTCTTATTTGCCAATTCCTCGATTAATTTTTGGAGAAATTTATCCCAAATTTGAGTCTCTTCAGAATATATCAGTTTATCCAGTTTGTGAATGATTTCTTTGGAATATGTTTTATCATCACCCCGGCTGTTGATTATTTCTTCAAGATACTCTTCAGTTTTTGCCAGGATACTGTATTTCAAATAATTACAGGGAAGGTGCTTGCCAACTATGTTTTCCAACATTGAAAGTGGCAGGGTAAGGCATATTTCCAGGAACTCAGCTAGCTGCCTCAGAGGAATTGGCATCAGCTCAAGTGCTTGGGTCATTTTGAAGGTCGTGTTAACCCAGGTTTTGTAATAGTGCTGATTTTCACCTGGATTAAAAATTAATAGGATATTAGGCTTACTTTGGCTCGTCGGTGTCGCTGTTCTTATGCAACAATCTTTGGTGTGGTTATGTTAAGCCACTTTAACCAATCACGCCCCCATGACACTGTGAAATGCACGATTTGATTCCGGAGGTGCAACCGTTGAACAGGCTATGCAAATTCTTTTGCATGAATTTTTGACCAATAATTTGATGATTTTGAAGTTTGGGACGGGGATTTCTCACCATAAGTTTCACCTGTGGTAAACACTTGACTTGGTAAAGGTAAAGTCAAATCTAATAGCCATGGTGAATGGGCTTAGATGTAGAAAACTTTGAATCTCGGTTATGGGCTCATCGTAGGTAAAAATTACGTTTGTCTGTAAATATCTGCCCCCCAACTGCATTAAATTAATCAAATTGTGGGTCGAAACGTCATGCAAAAGTATTCGCTTCGTACTTGCAGATATTTATCCTGCGTGGATGACCCTCAACCGGCAACCAAGCCATGCGTGCATACTTTTCATCGCGGTAACTTGAATGGCGAAAGCTGCCCGACCCTGCCTACCCAACGATGGGTACATACATACATACAAAAAATATGTACATATTTACATATTTAAGAACAGTGTCACCTAAAGGGTGGGCAACTTAAAAGTGGTACAGCACATAGTCGCAAATTGTTTGGTTTAGAATGTCTTAAAATCAAAATGGCTGGACGAATTTGAATGAAATTTTCCACACTTATTAACAACTACCTAGTTAGTCTTGTGATAGCACCCAGTCCTCTATTTAGTTTGATTTGACAGTAGTTAGATACGGTTTGATAGCATGGTGAATTCTGCCCCATACAACTTTTCGCATACCTCAAATTAAATAGTTCCCGACTATCGTCCTCCGGGGATTACGCTTCATTTATTTCACATAGTACCTCCCCACATAAGTTTGTGTTAACCAGGAAAAATATTGACCCTGTGCGAATAAATTTACTGGGTGGAGGAAATTTTTTGTCAAAACATTAAAAACGTTGCCTTTTTCAAAGCTTTGACTACCTGGGGACGACTTTTGTTTTGTTTTTAATGCCGAACTCTCCAACGGGTTGCTTTCTAGGTAACTCATGTCAAATTAGCTAAATAACAATTCGTTTGGCCTTTCCAGGGTAAATAATTTTCAACTTTCCGTGTCACGTAAGCATGGATTTTAATTTTTCGTCAATTTTTTGGAGAAATGTAAATTTTTTCAAATTTGCTTTTCTGCATTTGATAGCTTAACTTATCTGAAAAATTACAAAAATAATAAAGAGTAGAAATCCTTATGCATGCCGAAGGAATCCAACTTCTTTCCACTACCTAAGACTTTCGACAAATATGAATTCCTCGCAATGTATAAACGATTTTGAGCCCTTTTTGTACCAGTCATTAACAATTCGTATGACATGTCTAAAAAATACAAAATGGTAGAAATCTTAGCAGCGATACCAGAAATATGGCCAAAACGCCACTGTACCACTTTTAAGTTGCCCACCCTTTACATGCCAAACTACACATTATACACATTAACCAAATTAACTACACATAACATGCATATAATAAATATGTATTAGATATTGACGTACCAGCGCAAAATTTTAGATTCCATTCATTCAGGATTTTTTCTAATTTCGATTTATCATCAGAACCAAAATGACCCACTAATTTAGCAAAGCAGGATTGAATGCATAAATGTTGTAATTCAGTTTCCCAACCCGGCAATGTTTTGAAAGTGGATGAAATTGTGATCATCTTGGTTGGAGGCAATAGGGATTGGAGCTTATCAAAGTAGACCACTTCCTCTTCGGATAAAATATTGCGAAATAATTGTGATTCTTGCTCATTGAGGGTTGTAGCGCGGTTTGTATCCATAAAAACACGGAACAAAAATTCCTTAATTTCAGTTGTCCTAAATTTAGATTTTTGGAGTCGAACGAGCATTTTTCTCATGGAATTTGATCTGTCTGGATTACTGAATTCCGTCGGAATTTCTTCAGATTGTGTTGCCAATAGAAATTTTTTCAAAAATTTGCAATAATCCTCTAATTTGTAGCTTTCGCCGGATTCTCCTATTTTCACTTGTAACAAAAAATCGTACCTTTTTCTCTTTGAAATGTCTAGGTAATCCAACATCTCTAATGTAAGCTCAATAGCTGGCCAAACTCTTGCGTCAGCATTTGCACACGATTCTTGTACATTTTTGAGTAGTTCTTCATCTGAGATGGTGCTGCTACTATCTTGAGGTAAGGTATCCTCACACATTTCCATTGCCTCTTCAACGATATTGTTTACGACCACAAATTCTTCGAGAGCTGATTGAAAATGTTTCTCATCCAATTCTAAGATACAATCCCATCGGCATTCAAATTGAAGATTCCATTCTCTAAAGTAGTATGTCACGGGGTTATTCTTGGTTCTAGAATAACAATTATACACTTGTTTATAGTTGTAAAACTTCGTATAATAAAACTGTACAACAATTAATTTACCTGAAACTTGCTACAACTAACTCAGTAATCCTTTCATTCCCTTTCTCCTCAAATGATGCAATGACAGATTCCACCTTTCCTTGTAATTTTGACACATGTGACGTGAATAATTTGATATGAGTAGCGTCAAAATGATTGCTTGTCATGCTTCTCACAGCCTGTAGGAATTCCATAATTCTTTTGTTTTTAATTTGTTTCTTGACAAACTGTATCATTTCTGTTAATCGTGAACTGAGAGCGTCGATTTGATCTTGAGTTATAGCGTCAAAGGGATTACTATTTTCCACGTCAAATTGGGATAAAGTTCCAATATTCTTCCAATTCCGTATCAGACCCATTTCTAGTTCTGTAAGCAAGTCGTCAAGTTCTGTGGGATTTTGGGCTGAAAGTTGTTTGATGAGTTTCTTGTAGTCCGCTTCATTAACAAAAGCAATAAGATTATGTACAATTTCACTTATCTCACAATTATCTTCATGAACTAGTAGACGGCTTAGCCAGACTTGCAGATCCTTTGACAGCTTCGCAAATATCTGGGCCCTACTTGACTTCAAATAAGTGTAATCTTGTAACTCCTCAAGAATATGACGAATTCGCTCAAGCTCGTCGCCATCATCGGCCTTTAACTGGAGTTCATCCAATTGTTTAATACTGCCATGCTTCAGCCCAGCAAAGTGGACCTGCTCTAGCTTAAGTTTCATAAAAAATTCAACCTGGTCAAGGTTGAGGATTTTGTTTGAAGCCAAAAGATCTTGGACATCATTAAAAACATTACTTTTCCAATCAGCAAACTTTTCATGATGATGGTTGCTTCGAATGTGCTTTCCTATAATATTAACAAATTGTCGCTTCCAAAAAGACGTGACGCATATATTAAAATCTTCAAGAACAGTGGGATATTTGGATGTATTTAATGTGTGGTGTATTGTTCTGAAACTCTCCTCAAATTTGAAGCCAAAACAGGAAGTAAGTAATTCGTCCGCCGAAAACTCCGAATTTTGTAGAATCATCTGTATATTTTTCACGGCGGATATTCTTTCAATAATTTTCTGCCCTGTAGTAAAATTATGAAAATATCTCGGTAGTTGGGACTTGTTGATCAGTGTATTTTTTAAGCCTGTCAATTTGGCATCCCACTGAAAATTCTCATTTTGCTTAATTTCCTGCAAAAGATTTTGCAGGTGAAATTTTCTTGTTTCAAATTTTTCAATTGAGTTCACGATCTGCACGAGTTCAAATTTTATCCGGTCCGCTTCCTCGTTATTCCCCACTTTGAATATTTGAGATAAAATGGGTTCCTGAAATTTATATTTATATGCCAGTTCAATTCCAGCCTTTAAGCGAATTGCGAAATCTCCACGTTGTTTCTTAATTAGTTTGCAATGTACACGGAATAACTTGTCTAACGTGGTGATGTCGTAGGTGTAATGTTTCGTCATAAATATCAACAGATCAAAGTATGAAACGAATTTCTTGGATTCCGACTTAAGGTTGGAAATTATTTCATCCATGTTTATCCCAATTTCTTGGTTTAGAAAATTCTGGAGTAACTCTCCTTGGTTTTTAAATAGGCTTTTGTGTGAGTCGTATTTCCCAAGGAAATCTTCAAACATTTTTAGAAGGTTAATTTCACTTAAATTGGTCGGCAAATCTTGCTGCCATTTAAGTAGTGTAACGGTAATTATTTTGAAGGCACAATCGTCCAGTACAATCTCCGTATCCTGATTCGTCCCTTGGATTTGATCCTTCGTCCAACTTGCCATTGATTTTGCCATTGAGAAAGGTTGAAAAATTGAGTAGGTTGTCTTACTTTTGTTGTTCCATGCATTTTTAAGCCTGGGAATCCACTGAGTGCAATAGAAAGGAACAAGAATTGCGCGAATGTTTGATTTTTGAACGGCGTTAAAATGTTGGCGTTTTGAAAGTTCTTCACATTGTGTCATAACGGAAGGGTCTAACGTTTGTCTGTTGATTACGAGATTGGAGATGAAGGAAAATGCATTATTATATTGTACGTTGTCGATTTTAGGAAGATTCTCAGCTTTAACTGACTTCAAGGTGTGATATGCCAAAGGGATTTGTTCCAATAGCTGCAACGGCTGAAAGATGGTAATTGTACTGATCTCTTCTTGTCCCATTTTTAGGACATTGTTAAGGAAACTCGCTGCCTCTAATTGAACTTGATCGTCTTCGTGAAGAAAATGCTGAAATTGTCAAGTGAAGTTATAAGGATAAGAACCTGGAAATTCGCATGAATCTCAATAAATAATTATAATTACCATTAAATATTTCTCTCCCTCAAGAAAGATTTCGTAACTATTGGCCTTTGTTAAAACTTGCTGGAAAAATTTGATCGTGGGGGACATGTTTCCAATAAAGCTGTCAGATATTCCATCCTTGAATAATTCTATAACTTCTAAATTGTTAACTTCATTTGTATTATCCATCCCCAAGAATGGGTTTGTTATCTTATGCATTTCCTGGTGATGGGTGTGAATACTTTTGTGTAGCTTGGTACGAATCTCTTTGAAATCTGTGTTTATATCCTCCCTGAATTTATCTAGTTCCGTGATACTTTTTGAGTTTGTCTTTTTCTCATTTTTGAAATTATCCAGACACCTTCTTTGTAACAATTCTCCTTCCTTTAAAGAATACACCAGGCGCCTCCGCTTTCCTAAATTAGATTCTAGTTCAGTTAGTTGTTTGCATTTTCCTGAAATTTGAGCATGCAGGATAGAGTGAGACTCAATGTTGTCGTCTGCTTCATTGTGATCTCGGACATTGATCAAACTGTTCTTTGCTGGATATTTAGCTCTGGCTTGGGATCGAGTCATTGTGGACTTTTCGTTTCTTCGTATTCCATTGATACCACAGATGCCTGACGGTTTAGCAGAGAATCTATCAACTGTGTATCCTTCTGCCCAGAAACCATCATGGTGATCCAGATTTATTTTTTCCTCTCCTTGCTTTCCGACAATTCTTTGCCATGGATCATGAGGCCATGCACTGTAGGTAATCCATGCAGCATCGATTCCAGGCTTCCCCCCTGGAAATTTTAATATTTGGTTGTTACATTTATATTGGGCATCTTGTATTTGAGGGTATTTTTATAATATTTTATTTTGTACTCTTTAACTTTGATACCTTTGCCTCCAGTCCCAGCAATGCCAGGTTCACCATCGTCGCCTGGTTTACCATCCTAAAAATGTCAGAATATAAGAATAAAATACTTCATATGAAATTCACGTATATACTTATATGTAACTATTCATGTACATTTCCTTTTTCTTGTAGGACTTGATCCCCCATTCTGGTTATTATGTAACCGCCAACACCACCCAAACCGCCGCTTCCAACTCTTCCGGAATCTCCTCCCCTTTCCCCCGGTAAACCGACCGTACCTTCCCTAAGTAAACGTTTACCAGATTTTGGTTTTTCATCCGGAAGTTTTCCATGAGTCCCATCCAATCCATTTTTACCATCTGAGCCATCTCCTCCATCCTGGCCACGCCCTCCATTTCCACCATTCGACTTGGTAATTAGTTTTGCTTCTCCAGTAATACTCTGGGTGCATATTAGAAAAATGTTTCCACCGGATTCCCCAACGTTTCCGTGCAAACCATCAGTCCCATTACAACCTGTCGCAGCTGGTTTTCGTGGTTTCGAAATTTTGTGTTGTTTGGCATTATTTCCACTGACATCTAAGGTTACAGTCCGTTTGGATTGGGGCTCGACAAAAATCTTGTTCGAATTAAAGGTGACATCTATTCCGTGAAAAATATTTTGGTCTAAATCCACATCTAACGTAAGGGTTTCAACGCCATGAAATTCAATGGAAATTTGACTTTGGGTGTAGTTTTCCCGAAATTGGTCGAGATAGTTTAATAACTTGGGATCCTTAAGGCATTCACTCAGGTAGAGATGAGTTCCATTAAATTTTAAACTTGTCTGCAACATTAAATACAATATTTTTTTTAACTGTTATGATAAGTACATTCGAAAATTTTCAAAATGTTATTTTTTATAATTCTTACAGAATGATTTTCTGGGTGGACAAAATTATGCTGGGTACATTGCTTTAACAACTCAACGAGTTCCGTTAAGGTCGCCTTCTCTATTGCATTTTTACTCAAGAGGATTTGAGGGATCAGATTGCTGTCAAAATTTTTCTTCAAGAAGGTGAGATCAGTAAAGTTTGAGGGGACTGAATAGCTTTTAGTTAAGCTTAATGATTTAGGTCTTGTTTTCAATAAACGTGGGCGAAGTTGATTCAGGGCCATGGCAACGCTCAATTTATTGATTTCGTCTTCAATTTTACGTTTCTATAAAAAATTATTTATTTAAAATTTTTGTTAAGTAGAAAAATAGAAAAATATTAAAATAATATTTAGTACCATTTCAGCGGACATATTTTCGTGAATTTTGAGCTCCTTCATTGAGTTTAATTTTTGTTTAATTGCATCTTGATATATTTGTTCAGCATCTTCTATAGTATGGGACAATTTCTGGTCCTCTTCGCACTGTTTTTCCCGTACAGCAAGGACTAGTTCCTGAACGGCCTGCTCCATATCTGCCAGCAAAATTTCCTTCATTTCGTACGTAATACTGCGACAATATTCCTGGGAAAGCCGGGAGAGTTCTTGGTTCACAAATTCTAAAGAAATTGAAATATACAAATAAACAGTGTAAATTTACCATGTGTATATGATTAAAAGTTACTCGCCCTATGTAGGCATAATTTAAAGAACACACAATCTTCATTTTTTGCAGCAATAGTGCAAAACATTCTGGAGTTGTGTGTGTTAAGTATTGATATATAACATTAACTTAATTTAAAACCTGTCAGTACAGCTTTGCTTAGCCCGAACCAGGACTTAGTACACCCATGTTTGTCAAAATGTTATACTATTTTTCACTAATTCGTGCATTAACTAACGTCACTTGCTAGTATTGCTTGGCACCAAATACCACAAGCAGTGGAGGCTGTTCGTATACAAATTTCGAAATTCAACCCTCCTAAATTATAATCTAAGTTATTTTTCGACTCAACACTAAATTTTAGCTGAATCTATAAACTCTTAGAAATCGGTATGGATACGCCTTTAGTGCCCCTCTGGTTACTTTTTGTTCATCTTTGATTTCATATAATTTCATGAGAAGCCATTAAGTATCACTGTCCCGAATTTCAGCTTTTTGCGACAAGTTATGAAAATCGGTTTGGGTCACCCAACGGGTCCCAGCGTATGAAAATTTCAGCTTTCTACGACAATTTTGAAATTTTGGTGCATAATACCCCACCCACTCCGATGACCTCCACCGGTCAACCACTTGACCGATTTCGCCCATCTTCGAACTCGTTTCCTACTTTGTCCAATATGCATATGGTAAAAATTTCAAGTCAATCGGTCAACTCGTTCGAGAGTTATCGAAAGACAGACAGACGGACATGACAATTACATAAGCCCTGGTTCGGGATAAAAAATTAAAAAGTCATATATTTCCATGGATGTACTCGCTCTATATAACTTTGCACGAAAGTTTGCATGAAATTGTACTAAAACTTACAGTATCTACATATTGCAAGTTTTGTTATGTGCCCTATTAATCTGTATTGCACTGTACGTTTTTGATGCTAAATACTGGATACCAAAATCGAACAGATTCAGTGCAGGGGTTCTGCAAAATTGATGAACTTTGTGCGAATTTTTGCAATCTTTCTTTTCATAATTTAATTAGGAACAGAAAGATTGCAAAAATTCGGTAAACTGGTATTACCAGTTTACATTATTAATTGTTGGCAACTAACAATGGGTACACCAGCCTTGTTCCTTTCAGATTTTTTTGCAGCATGGATAATGAAATTCAAAATTCTTCGTTCTAAAGACGGACGGACAACACGTCTCCATAAAGTGATTTCGCTTCGCTTCACCCCTTAACCACTTCACCCCTGAGAGACGAATATTTTCATACCTTTCACCCCTAGTAACGGCGAATTTTTTCTTCCCTTGACCCCGAAATTTTCACCTACTGCATGACGTTAATTACTGAGAGATGAATTGAAAAATGGTGTTCCCACCGGAATTATTCTGGACACTTTTTTATGAACGTTGATGCGAATAACCATTTGGGAACGGATTTTGAGTTGTAATTTGCCTTTGTGCATTTTTGCGAACGACTAATGTTTATAGCCGAAAATAGCCAACACGCCGAATTAAAAAAATGATTGTAATCGCATGGAAAGTTGCACAAACATTGATTATTACGTGCATAATAGTACATATATTTCCAAAAATCGATTATCGCGCGTCAAGGGCTATAGAAGCCGATTTTGGCGGGAAAATTAAACATAGCAAATATGGCTTTCAATTCATGACATTGGCTATAAATAATTTTGTAATCAGACTAAAATGTGTAAAAATTGCTTCTTGTACATTTAACATGCATAGAATTTACGCATACTTAGGGAGGGAAAACAAACGTTTTCTTACAGTGACTTTAAATTGGTAGCAGTGGTAGTGAATAATTATAGCATCAACTGTTCGAAACCATACTTTAGCGCATTTTGAATATAACTCAATTTTAACTGGAAAATTATATGCTACTTTCCGGACAATCTTTTAATTTTTCCGCCCAACGAGATTTCATCGGCTCCAGTGGTTAGTTTTCCCGCCAAAAATTTCGTTGGGGCGTTCTAAATCCGAGAAAAACAATTTCACTAATTTTATCTGAAAGCGCTGTTGAAATATGTGACGAAAATTCCATGCAACAGCAGTTTTCAAAACTGGGCGTGTTAGCTAGAAATAGCCAGTTAGCTATAAATTGTTTTTACCTCCCGCAATTCATCTTCCCGCCCAAATGGCGGATTGTTGACTGAAAACTATATTTGGAAGAGCAATGACCTAATTTTTTTTTCTGGATACGACACATAGTCGTATGCCGGTGTGAACGGAAAATACGCCACATAGTCGTTTCCGTTGTCAAGGGTCAATACGACACATCGTCGTATTTCGGAGCCAAGGGAACTTACGCCACATAGTCGTATTCGGCGTAAAGGTCAAATACGCCACATAGTCGTTATAGGGGCGAAGTGGGTAATAAAGTTGTGCAAGGTTTACCCAAGCCTAAGTAAAAACTGGGGATGACAACAATTGGGTACAATTTGTATAACGTTGTGCAAGCACCTGTCCAACTATTGTACACATTGTGCACAAGTGTTGCCCCCACTAAATATTTTAGTCAACCTTGAGTAGATTTTTCACAACTTTATTTAGAGTGTAGCTCTCATGCAATGCACGGTGACCTAAGTTATTATGCATTACCAACCCATCTCATTATCTCATCAATCATAAATAGATATGCGTAAATAGATATGTGATCATTACCATTTTTCTTAAACATTAGTTTCGGATCTTCACATTCAAGCAGGATTTGAAGCAGCCGACAGTAAGTAATATCTTGGCCGAGTAGTCCAACCCTTTCCAAACTCACAAAAATAGTCTCCGCTTCTAGTAGCCTCTTGCTCATTTCGATACACTTCTTTCGTACCTCAAATATTGACAAGGGCTCAAAGTTTGTTCGGAAGTGAGACTGGAAAATGGTGGAGGTTCGTAAATATTCGATAATTGATTGCGCCCTGGAATCGGGATCATCTTGAAATTGCGCACGATCAAGAATTAAGGAGAAAGTTTTTTCGAGCATATTTTTGTAGAGGAAGCAATGATCTGGATTTTCCTCACGTGCGGCGTAAAAGTCTTTTGTGGTTTGTACAATTTTGAGATCAATTTTGCTATGAAAATATGTCTCAGTCAGTTTTATTATTCTATTTTGTGTCTCCGGGCTGAAATCGGTTTCAAATTTGTCTTTCTCTGCTTCCACAGTTTCACAGATTGTCTCAAAAAAATTGGAATTTGTTACGGACCCGGATGGAATATTTTGGCGACGCTTAGATGTCAAATGGTGCCAGTTTTGTAGGGCAGAATTTAGTGGGAGGTCATCAATGTTGAGTTGCGTCTCATAATTTTTGGAGGCATGTTGAAGTAGTGAGACTACAAAGGACGTAAGATAGGCGACACTTCCGGTTTCAACCAAAACGAAACCAGCCTCGTATAAGTTTTCGAGCTCGGTTGGGCCATCCTCTGATTCTGTTGGACTGTCGGACAAAGTATTATCGACACTGAAATTGTCAGAAATACAGAATGATCTAATTTGAAATGGTCCACTTAATGTAAATGTAACATTAGATAAATTACTTTAAAAGGAGGCTTTATATTATATGCGATATATGAGGTGTGCATTTTATTCTGAGATTTATGTACATAAAGGGTGGTTTATATGTCAGGTCACAATGGAAAATTTTTCAATGGGAAAAATTCGGAAATAAATCTCCATTAGTTAATAACTATTAGTTATGGAATTGGGATTGAGATTTTTATTAATTTTTATCAAAAGTTATGGAACACTGATGACCAAATTCTTAAAATATTGAACTTCAAAGGCAAAATTTCGCTAACTAATGGAGATTTGCGAATTTTTCCCATTGACAAATTTTCCATTGTCACCTGACATTTAAACCACCCTGTATGTACATAAGTAATCTGCGCTACATACCCGTTATAAAAATGTAAAACTACGCCTGGACTAAATAAATAATTGGTTACGATAAAGATAAAACAATACCCACGTTCATTCATTTAACATTTGTACATATTACCTTCTTTGCTGAGGGCCAGGATTTAACTCTACTCCACCAATTATTAGCAAAATTGCTGCCACAGTTGCACATAATATTTTATAAAGTGTGCATTCACGTGTCTTAAATTTTGAAATTGTTTTTGACGTCTTCTTGAACTTAAATCCATCAATTCGGGATCTCCAGCTTACATCGGTGGTCTTCATTTTTTTATTTCTCGGAGGTGCGTGACCAATGCGTATTAACACTTAATTGTTGGGTAGGAAGTTCCCCTGCACATGACAACCACCGTTCCAATCGGCCCACGAAACTAATGCTAGAATGGGTATTCCAGCTTTACATAGTAGTTTGTTAACCTGAGTTAAATACTTCAGAACGAACGCTGGAAAATGAAATATTTGTAAAACGTAAGTGCAAATATGCTTATGTAACTGCAAACTGCAACGAACAAATTTTAATGAAACGTTTTGAGCGTAACTTATAAATAAGTTGCCTTTCATATCTATGAATTGAGGTCTTATTTAACAAGGCTGTCGATAAACGAAAATCATGCTATCAATAAATGAACAGAGATAAAACTGGAGTCTCTTCATATCTCTGTGATGTGCAGGTACAGTATGTCAAAAGACTGTACATACATATGTATACTGATTCCTCCCGGTTTATCTGGGTGAAAGAGAAGATGCAAATTTGAAATTTTGCATGGATAAATTTGTAGTGGTTAAGGTACTATTCGAATGTCAGGATAAGTCGTACAGGTCAAAGATCACAATTAATTTACCTTGGAACAACGAGCCTTTTGTTTGTTTTGCTAAAATGCTCGACTCATTTTGAGCATTTTGACCTGACGATTTCGTTACACACAAAAATTTGAAAAATGAAATTTTTAAATTTTGCTGCATTATATGATGCCAAGGAAAGTACAAGTGTAGCTGGTCGCCGGGTTTCCAGGTAAATAAACTGTGACCTTTGACATATGCGAAATATCTTCCAATTCGAACCCCAACAAGTAAAAATTTCAATTCTACCTGGAAAATTTCAAATTTGTATCTTTCACTCTTCCCAAGATTAACGGGGTTCATGTTGCATCACCAGTTTTTTAACATACTGTACAGAAATATTTACACGAAACGTATACAACTGTTTAATATACGAACCTTTCATATGTTTAACAAAGACATGGACAAGTTTACTGTGCACATTTGTACATAAGTACGGATACCTACATATCTTTCAACCAAAAAAGGTCCATCCATTATACATACCTTCACAGAAATATTCATTCCTCTCTACATAGTCACAACAACCAAGGACGTATGTAACCAGTTTATTCTGTGCTCCCTCACAAGCTTCTTCCCACACTGTCCAGTGCAATCTTAGAAAGTTAAATAACGAGGTCGTACATTACGTGTGTGATCGATTATCGGAGAATTTTGACCCATGCCCCTAGGTCTGAAATAAATACTAACTGATATAATTAAAATGGGACAGATTGAACCCCTACCCCTTTAAAATCGATCACATTCTTTTTGCACGGTCCCACATGTACTTATTTGTCTTTTAAGCGAATGTAAAACTAAACCGGCTAAGCTTCTCATACCTTTTCCCATCCTTCCAACTATAAAAGATAGCTCAACACTGCACAAACTGGAGCCTGGTTTTAGAGTGGCATACTGATAAAGTATAATTCTTCTGTAAACGTTTCTAGAGAATTGTATGAATGCAGAAGTTATATAACATTGTGTTGGTTGACTACGTCCTAAATTGTGGTGCAACGTTATATGCAGAGACCCATTCTTTAATTTGTGTCATTAGGACTCGGTTTAAAATTCGGTGCATGATTGATTTGGTTTTTTTATCGATAGATTTGCAAGTTTTTCATCAATTTTAGAAAAAAATGAACGGGGAACAGCAGGATACAAGGAAGAACGTTGAGAAGGCCGGGGCTTCGACTGCGACACAAAGTAAATATTTACAAAACAAAATAATATTCATATTTCACCACAAACAAATTCAGACTGAAATCATTACCTACGTGGGTATTAATGTGCTCTACTGTTTGGCAACGATTAAGAGGCCATTCATAAATTATGTATCGAAAAAATTGGGATTTTGTACACCCGCTGTCATAATCTTTAACCACTTCAACCCTAGGAGACGAGTTTTTTCATACCTTTCACCCCTAGTAACCGCGAATTTTTACCTCCCTTGACCCCGAAATTTTTATCTACTGCATGACGTTAATTCCTGGGCCATAAATTAAAAAATGGTGTTCCCACCGGAATTATTCTGGACACTTTTTTATGAAAATTGATGTGAATAACCTTTCAAGAAGGAATTTTGAGTTGTAATTTGCATTTTTGAGTTGTGGCGAACCACCCATGTTTATAGCCGAAAATAGCCAACACGCCGAATTTTAAAAATGATTGTAATTGCATGAAAAGTTAGACAAACATGGAGTAATACTTGCATAATAGTACGTAAACTCGCAAATATTGATTATAGCGCCTAAAGCGCCTTAGGAGCCGATTTTGGGCGGGAAAACCAAAAATCCTTACAATGACTTTAAATAGACAGCAATGACAATGAATAATTATCACGTGAGAGGAAATTGCTTGAAAATAGACTATGGCGCATCTGGTGAATAGAAATCAATTTTAAGCGGGAAAACTAAATTCTACTAATTCCTGGAAATCTCTCAATTTTTAATTTTCCCGCCCAAAAGATATTTCAGCGGCCCGATTTACCCGATACGTAATCATTAATTTTGACGTAGTTTACCCTACCGGCAAGATTATTTGTGGTATATAATTAAATCCATGCAATGATGCAATTCATCAAACTTTTAGTTTTCTCGCCCAAAACGCCGTTTGTGCTACATGCGAGCAAAACAGTTTCTCTAATCTTATCGTAAAGCGTTGTTGAATTAAATCTGTGTCGAAATTTCCTTGCAAAAACAGTTTTCACAACTCGGCGTGTTGGCTAGATATAGCCACTTGGCTATAAATTTATTTTGCATCCCTTTCTAATGTTATTTCCTAAGAGACAATTTATCTTCCCGCCTAAAGGGCGGGTTGTTGACTCATAACTCTTGCTTTGCTTTGCTTGGAGAGGCAATGACCTAATTTTTTTTTCTGGATACGACACATAGTCGTATGCCGGTGTGAACGGAAAATACGCCACATAGTCGTATCCGTTGTCAAGGGTCAATACGACACATCGTCGTATTCCGGTGCCAAGGGAACTTACGCCACATGGTCGTACTCGGCGTAATGGTCAAAAACGCCACATAGTCGTTATAGGGGCGAAGTGGTTAACATGTGTCACATTGACACGATTTTTCTGTAGCCTTAAACCTTCCTCCCCACACTGTCCGCGTTACACAATTTATGATCGGCCCCTAAGCATATATACGTTTTATCACCAAAGGCAAATATGTGAAAGACTCAAAGACTGACGAGATGTCGTTATTTAAAGAATTTACCATTTTTATAATCTTAACAAGGTTTTCTGCATGAAAATAAGTAACAACGTCACGTGTGTTTGGTAGATTAGTTTTCAATATATCCTACTACACGGTGGTAAAACCTCTCTGTACTCATTGCCCAAAACTCGAGCACTATCTATATGCAGTACCTACGCGGGTGGCAATTTGTCTCGAAGTTATTTAGATTACAGTAATTAATAGTAAATTTAAATTTAAAATTGTGCATCCACTTCCAGTGGAAACAAAAGAACATCAAGAAACTGCCACAGCTGCACAAAATGCTCAAGGAGCGTCATCCATGGGGACGCAATCCGCCGCTGCCATGGCAACTTCGTCTCGAGCGGCGGTCAATATTAATCTGGACAACGATCAAGCCACCAACGTTGCACGGTTCCAGAATGCTTTAACCCAGTGTGCCGACCAGTTTAGAGGTCTTGGCGGGTGGTTGGCGATTCAAATAGAAAACGCTGCCGAAATTGTGGGGATTCCCGTGCTTTTCCAGAAATTCAGTGGTATGTAGAAATAAACCAAATCTGCATGTAAATGCACTCTTAAGAATCGTATTAAACTTTCGATGAGTAAATATGTACTAAATCTAGAGAGACGTTAACATGAGAAAGATTAAAGTTCACGCTAGATTTAGCATAGTTTACACAGAATTTGCGTCGATGGACATTTTGACATTATTTTTAAGTGTGCATGGCTAATTCTGAATTTCCTGAATATAGAACTTCCAATCTACTTGAAAGTTTTGGTGATGATTTTAATCCTTGGGCTGGTTTGGTTGCTGAGAACACTTGTCTGGGATGGAGTTTCGTACAGTAAATGACAAAATAAATGTTTGCACCTTGCATATTAATTTGAGAAACTTAATTTTATATGAATTTACATATCTAGTTTGGCCACACATAATGAATTTCATCAACTCTTCGTATGGACAATCGTTTCTGAGTACGGCGACGAGCTGGTTGGAAGGCCTAAGTAGCAGCGGAATTTTTGCTAGATTTACACAAATGTTTTCCACAGCTGTAAATGAACAATCGCAAGATGCAGATGCTGAGCCGGCTTGTCTTTCTCTGAATGATTGGACAACATTGGCATCTACTTCGGCCTTCCCTATTATTGAACTTATAAGTTTGTTCTTCAATTATATGTCGGAAAATATGAATAATAACAAGTGATTGACTTTTAAGAGAAACAATGCATGGAATTTTAATAATTTAATCCATTGAATTATGCCCGACTTCCTTACAAGTGTTCTTATCCTTTTGTCCAATTATCCACTAAATGAGATTTACAAATAAAACAAAATGCAAGTAGTTACGTTTTGACAACATTTCGAATATTGATTATTTTTTATCAATATTATTGGCCACATTTTTTCTGTAAGTGGGGTTTATGTGACCAGTAGTGAAAAATTCGTGTTGGGATTTAGATTTTACTCACAATGGAACCTTTTCTTAAGATACACCGGGATTGACTAACGAGTTATATCAAAAAATTAAGCCACAAATTAGGAATCATACATACATATAGCGCTTATAATTCTGTTGAATGGCTCCTTTGAAGAAAATTATTTGTGGCAAAATTCAATTTTCGAGTTAATTTTCTCTCCCTTTTTCCACCACGGGGCGAAAACCAAGGCACAGGCGGGTCCTTTGACTCTTTACATAGTGGGGTCATAAGTTCTCGTGAATGCCTTTCCGTTGATAAATCCCAAAGTATTAGAGCTATCTGTTCGAAATTTTTATGGATTAAGAAGGTGTTAATATTGTTTAGAAATCATAACTTCTTTCTCAAGATTTCGTCCAAGGGCTTTTAGACCAGACATAACTCGTGACGCCCACTACTCGATTGTGGTACGCGCCAATTGTCGTGCCAAAAGTATTTCAGACTTTTCACCGTTGGCGAAATTTAATAGAAAAAACGGCCAGATATTTGTTCTACGAAAGTCTGACATCCGTTTAAGTATGCCGAAGTCAATACGAAGTCACCACCGAGGTGTGAATGGGAGCAAGTTGGCCGGAAAAACCAAATCTCTGTTTTTTACCGCAAAGGGTAAAAGTTGGAGCCAAGAATTATTTTCAAAGTGTCCTAGAGCTAAACGTTAATAATCTGAACCCTGGACCCTCCGAAAATCAACATTGGACCTTTCAACAAGACTCTGCTCCTGCGCAAGGTGCAAAATTGTCCAAAACTGGCTTTAGACGAATTTTCATGACCTTTTTTTATCCATAGAACGGCGCTCAGCATTTGCAGACCTTAATCCCCTAAATTATGACTGGTGGTCAAAATTATAGGTGCAAGTACGCTCTAAATCTCACCCAAGTGTGGAAGGACTGAGGTCACACTTACTAAAGATCTGGGCGCTTTTCCCTCGAAATCCGTGCGTGCCGCGATCGAGCAGTTTCCGCCATGACTTATCTCTTGTGTACAAGCCCGTGGAGGAAATTGTGAAAAAGAAGTTATGATTTCTAAACAAGATTAATACCTTGTTCATCCACAAAAATTTCTATCAGATAGCTCTAATACTTTGCGATTTATCACTGGAAATGCATTCACGGGAACTTATGGTCGGACTATGTATATTTTTCTGCAATGGGACCATTTAACGGAATGATAAGCGCAATGCGATTTCTAATTTTGGGCTTGGTTTTTTGATATAACTCGTTAGGAAATCCCGGTGTAGCTTGAAAAAGGTTCCATTTGTCAGAGCATTGTTTTTGACATATCATCTTCCTCAGATTGAGCTGGAGATCCCTATCGGACAACTAAATTTAGAAACCACCCCCTAGTGGGTGTGTTTTGCAGTATTTTTGTCTATTTCATATTAGCATAACCTACTGATGTGATATGTTGTTTGTCCATATTATGTTGTTTGCCGGTCTCTAATTATAGTTGGGTGCGTGACCCGCACTTTTGAATTTTAGCCCCGTCTATAAATAGAGTATATACGGTACTTACAATGGAGGTCTCCCAACGTATGCTCACAGATTTGGATCAAACTAGCGTCAATCGATCACAAATATTTTTAGTATGAAATTTGCAAATGGCACTATCTGCCAATACGCAGGTTTGGCGGAGATATTTGCATAAAAAAGGAGAAAACGCACCCACAAGGCTGGCAAATTTTTTATTTTCTAAATTTAATGCGCATTTTTCCCACTTTGGATGCAAATATCTCCGCAGAACCTGAGCATTGGCAGATAGTGACATTTGCAAATTTCATACTAATTATATTTGTGATCGATTGACGCTAGTTTGTTCAAAATCTGAGAGCATACGTTGGGAGACCTCCATTGTTAGTTCCTTAATGCATATACATAAATTCTGCATATGCACATGCACAAATCAGTTTTCAACCTTTAAAAACAGTCTGTATTTTATAAAGGCGGTTGTACTAAAACACACACGAAATGAAATGAATTACCTATCATAAAAATATGTAGGTGAGACAGTTAGAATATTAGTTTCAATATGCACAGGCCTCATACATATAATAAGTATTTGTTGTCAAGCATGTCAACAAAACTGTCCCAACTTGTGTCTACATCGCTTTGTTGCTCAGTAAGAAGCATATGTTTGGAAATTTGAGACAAATGTACGATACGAAGAATAGAGTGATGTTGGGCAAACTTACAATAGAGGTCTCCCAACGTATGCACAGATTTGGACTAAACCGGTGTCAATCGATCACAAATACAATTAGTATGAAATATGCAAATGAAACTATCTGCCAATGCGCAAGTTTTACGGAGATATTTGCACCCAAAGCGGGAAAATTGTGCAGTAAATTCGGAAAATGAAAAATTTGCTAGCCATGGGGGTGCGTTTTCTCCTCTTTTTATGCAAATATCTCCGCAAAACTTGAGCATTGGTAGATAGTTTCATTTGCATATTTCATACTAATTATGTTTGTGATCGATTGGTACTAGTTTCGTCCAAATCTGTGAGCATACGTTGGGAAACCTCCATTGTTAGATTTGCACAGTAATTTCGCACACCTCAAATCAACATGTAAATATGTATGTAGATACGGCACTGGAAATTTATACAGAATGTGTAAAATCTATGCAACCTTGTATTATTTCTTTAGGGCTTTTAGTACAAAGCATGAACCTTGCCGAGTATGTACATAATCTGGACAAAAAAAGTTATAACGTTGCTGCATATTGACGATTTATGTATGTACCTACTACTGCCATATATTCTGTCTCAAGCATTCCGCGCGCAAAAAACATCAGTAGCAGTTACGTTAGCCAGTTGTACTATTTTTTATTGAATTCCCCATGCAATTGTCTATCAGAAACCATCTTCCGAAATTTTTTGTGATACAAGGTGCTAAAATGACAGATCGGACAAATCGACGTGTTGCAATTTTTCAGAAACATTTTTGCAAACATAAAAATTCGGCATTTTTCAATAGATCATTAAAAATCGGAACTAATTGCAAGATGGTCGACCATACCATAAAATGATCCACTAACATTGGCAGTGTTGATAACCGAAAACCGAGTTGAAGGGAACGGTCAAAAAGGTCACAAAAAATCACGAAGGCGCACAAAACCTGAACTCGGCTGAATTCACGCCGGATCCTAAGAAAAATGTCCCTACAAATGAACGGTCCAAGTAAAACTACGTCCCAGGCCCCTAAACTCGACCTTGGACTTATGTTTTTAAGATGTGAAAAGAAACACTTGCTAACTTCACGCCAAGTAAAAATAGGACCCTTGAAAGCCGCGCACTGATCATGCGGTACGGGCTTGAAAAATGGAAATAGGTATTTTTCAAAGATAAGTAAACTTTCACAATAGAGGTCATATAAAATTAGCAAAAGCACTTTGTCCACACCCCACCAGTCCATATTATTCATAAAATTTTTTAAAATATTAGTCGGACCCACCATCCAGATTCTGTGATTTTTTTATTCGGCGTAGATTGGATTTGGTCAAAAAAGTGAATTGTCTTCCTCTGGGGGTGAAATTTCTTGTCAAAAAGTATTTTTTGAAGTTATCGAGCGAATGGAAGAACCACTGGACCACACTCTATTAAAAAATAGCTGCTAAGTATTCGAGCAGGGCTCAGGACCTGCTGATAAGGCCAAAATAGTAAAAATGGGGTAAAATTCCAAAATTTCTTACTCCATTTCGGATCAAGAATAAAATGCACTGTCGCCGAACCTCAACCTTCTGGAATACGATATGTGGTCCAAACTGAAGCTAGATACATGTGCTAAACACCACACAAGTTTGGAATCCGAGAAAAAATCTGTCGCTTAGAAATGAGACTAATATTCCTTGGAATGAGTGCGTACCGCGAGTGAGATGTGGATATCTAGACTTTGGGCTATTGTAGCTTCGAAAGGAGGAAATTTTGGAAAGTGCCCGGTATATTTTGTAGGGAATTTAATAGGCTTTCTCATGATATCGTTCGTTTTTTAAAATTCACTAAACTGAGTCCGCTACATTAATTTGTTTAGTGGTCAAAACTTATGGCAGTAGTAGGTACGTACAGAACCTTTATGACCTGACACCGGCTTTGTTCTGTATCTAAAGAAGAATATTCTTACACATTAGCAAAATGCATGGATAAAGAACGCAGCAGGTGTCAGGCAAAAAAGGTTCTGTAAAACTTCAATAACAACTTTATACTTCTTTTGTCCAGATTATTAAGAAGGGTTCAGCTTTTTCCCTTAAAGAAATAATACAATGTTGCGTAGATTTTATACATTTCAGAATTTAGTGAGGGTATTCATTTAACCTTGGTAAGGAATTTGTCTTAATTGCTGAGGAATTTTTTAGCATTGCTAAGGAATTTTATCCTCATATGTAGCTTCCACGGATACATCGGTTAATGTATTATACATACAGGGTGGTTTAAATGTCAGTTTACAATGGACAATTTTTCAATGGGAAAAATTCACAAATCTCAATTATGTAGTTACCGAAATTTTGCCTCTGAAATTCAATATTTTAAGAATGTTGTCATCACTGTTCCATAAGTTTTGATAACAATTAATAAAAATTTTAATCCCGAATCCGTAACTAATGGAGATTTGCGAATTTTTCCCATTGAAAAATTTTCCATTGTAACCTAACATTTAAACCACCCTGTATATACATAGGTGTATAAATGTGTCCTCCAAGACGTCGAGTATAATATTGATGAAATGGGTCAAAAAGGCATTGAAAAGGGCAAAAATGTAGTAAAAAGGCTGACTTGTTGTACGCTATGTAGGTAAAGAAGAAAAACAAGGTCAAGGTTCGTAAAAATTGTACAGCGTAGATATAGTTCACATACTTTCTATGTAACCAGTGGGTTTCCTCAGGAGAACAATGAGGCAGCCTGGCCTTCACCTTTTCGCCTTTGCTCTCGTTTCATACTTCCTCTCCGTAAGGTAATTTATTCCCGTCTAAACTCTTCTTCGAACAACACATAAAATTTGTGGTCTCTTTCTTTAATATTTTTAAGCCATTAATTAAAATCAAGCCCTACAAAATATCTTCTTATTTAACAAGATCCCCCTTGTTCAGCCCCAATCATCATTTAACTGGTCTATCGCAAGTTAGAATCTGGTAAGTTTCGCTTTATAATACCAAGATATTTAGTAGCTTATCAATTTGCAAGTTTTGAGACAAATCTTTTAACGGGTAGTGGCCAATGTTACAATTTTAAAACCACATTATTACGCAATTTATTTACATACTAGGTACGAAAGTGTAAATTTAAAATTTTGATACCATTTTTTTACCTAGAAAATTCATCCACCATGAAGATCGCATTCGTTTTTATTCTCGTCCTGACAGGGATGACTATCGCGCAGGGTGCAGGGTTACCAGAAGGGATCAATTTGGACGATATTAGTGCAAAAGGTGGCAAATTTACGACACAATTTAGAATAAATGCGACTTATTGATACATAAATTTATAATGCGACGATTTCTAACAGCTTTCTGCCCGTCGATGATAGCCGCCTGTAAAAATGGTGATGACGACGGTGTCGAATGCTTGGATTCGGGCCCTTCGAAATATGCTCATTGCGAGAATCCACCCAGTCGTGAGTTTGACGACGCTTGCCTGGAATATCCTAAAGGCTGCAAGGTCTCCATTAACGAAAATTTGCATGTATGTCAATGTTAATGTGGTATTGATCTGCGGTATGATTTGGTTACACAAATACATATTGAGTTTAGAAAGTAATATTGATGTTTTTTTATTACAAAATTGTGTGAAGATTCATGCGAAATAAAACACGGCATGGTGTGCTTGAATTATTTCTTGAAATTTCGTTTTATTTTATTTTTTCATTTTCATTTTATTTACTAGAGTTGCAGCTTTTTTCTGAGGCAATTTATGGGCAAATTGGGCAGTTAACGGAATGCATTCAAAGTTTAAATTGACCCGCTTAGAGCTTAGATAAGTAAATAACGCCCTCTTGGAGCTATTGAGAAAAGGCGAATAAAACGATGTTCGAGTTTGGTATGCATGCACGCATGTTTCTTGGATTAGTGGGTTTGGAGAACGTAAACCAATACAGGTACATACGGTTTGAAAAATTGTAAATAAAAAGTCCACTTTATGTAAATTCCCATAATTTTTGCTGTTTTAGTTAAAAAATGGTGCCCTTAAAATGCATCTGTTTTTTATGATGTTGATTCATGCCTAACTTTTCCAGGAACCTTTATTCACTGTCACATTGTGTTTTCTTAATCCTTGTGTTTTGTTAATTTTTAGGAATAGAATATTGGTCCACCAATTCTATAAGTTTCTTGCCTCAGTGTCTTTAACCTTGAATGTCAGTCTATTTAAGACACGTAAAGTTAGCATTAAATACATCCATAGATACATATTTAGATACTTGATAATTATTAGTTCTTGTTTTTTTTATTTATTGATCTGTTTTATAATTAGTATTTGGGAAGAATATAATTAATTTACGTTGAATATCATAATTACATAAATGATGTAAATTTTTATTCCGAATTATAAGCAGTTTCCATAACGAGATCATGCACACTAAAAATTTGTAATAAAATATTTCCATGCGGAGAATTTATCGCCGCATATTGTCAATGTTAGGTAAAATTTCATCACCGACTGGTAAAGTGGTAATAAAAGCACATGGTTTCCAGGTTCAATTCAGATAGCTATGTCTAACGAGATACAAAATCTTACCATGTGGGAGATAAAACAAGTTTGTCTCCACGAGCAAACGAATTATCACCCGTCGTTAGAAAACTGCTCGCGGAGAAGATTTTGCTGACGATTTTGTTTAGAGTGTATGTAAAATCACCATAACCAGCAAATTGGTGAAATTGAGGAGTTCCTAAAAAATTACGAAAGGCATTGTGCAGGTCTCATTAATCTTAAATACATATGTATCTACATGTGTGTATGTATGTATGAATGTACACTCAAAACAAAAATTTGTCAAATCAACACCGCCGGTGTCAATATATGACTTAACCGCCTTGGTTAAAATGTTGAATCCGAGTTATGATGATTTTGATACCGGTAGTATATCCGGTTATAATGTTATGACCGGACGGAAAAAATGCATTACTACTCGGAATCACAATTGTAACCAAGGCGGTTAAGTCATATATTGACACCGTTTTGTTTTGAGTGTATGTGTTTACGTATCAGGCGATAAAAATAATACAAATTTCTGTTTTAAACCTTCCGATTATGCTTTTTCGCTTTAGTTCAGGTACGAAGTTCAACAATAGAGTTCGTCTGAAATTGCGTCAAGCTTTAATCAGTCTAATCCGACGGCTCTCAATATTGATTACGAAATGTAAAGTAAACATTTAAATGCGTCAAACAATTCAAGTGCTGGATTTTATAAACATTTTATTTAACATAAATAAAGTTGTAAATTATTGCGCACATTTACAGATTCCGTAATATTTATTTACTTTTCGTGGAATGATGACGGTACAAAGCTATAAAGATTTCAGTTTGAATGTGAAGGGCAGTAAATTGTATGCTGATTTCGCTCAGTCCGTTTCGAGTGAATTGGTTTACTTTTATTGGGACTATCTTTCCTTTGGATTACCGACAGAATGGTGAGCTCATGATCAAGCTATACATCCATGTAGCATATTGACGATGATAACTATGATTTCTGGAGAGCTATAAAAGACCGACGGAGTGATTTCTTATTCATCTGCTACTTTAAACCTTCCAACTAACTCACAATTTGCAGAAACTTGACAAACCCAATACTGAAAATGCAAGTCTTCATTATCCTTGGCTTGTGCATTGCTGCTGCCTCCGCTGGAGTCGTTAGCCATACTCGATGCGGTGAGTTTGTTAAAAATATAGTTTCACATATCATAATTTCACTAAAATGCATTCAACTTGTAGGTGGCGTGGGAACGTTCAGGGAAATTCGAATTCAAAATTGCGAAGGAGCCATTGCCAACATGTAACTAATTACATTACATTAGCTACTACTAGTTATTACAATTATGATAATCAGGATATTTAATTATGATAATTATAATTACATAATTTCATTATTACGTTAACCAGGACACCCGGTAGCCCTTATCCCTGTAAGAAATTATGCATACAAATAATACTTTGTAAATGGCCTTTGTTAACATTTTGTATTTTTTCTACATAAAGGCGAAGGAGATATGGTAGCCAGCACTGCTGCTTGTGCACTCCGCCTTAAGGTCACCGCCACCTACCTCGGTTTTCCAGTATCTATCATTGACACTGTCCTGGAGAACTCTTCAGTCCAACCAGGTGTCCAATACACTGTTAGGTTCACAATAACCCCCAATGATATACTTTCCGGTAACTGCATACCAGTAAGAGTTGAGGTGAGCAATGAATGCACAGGTCTTGTCGAGTGCTGCTTCAGCGTGCAAGTATGTATCGACTAAGTTTCTTTATAAAAAATTCTTTAAATTATTTTGATCGTGAATTGTCAGAAATTCGAAAGAAAAAGTTTTTACTGTTAATTACAGTCTGTAATATGAATTCAGTTGTATGCACTTTATTCTATCACAATACATGTAAAAAATATCCGGGATAAATAATAAAATTAGTACAAATTGACATTTCAATTACTTTGTCGGGGTGCACGAAGTATAATATTTCCAGTTTACTTATACAATAACTTCACCGATAAGTAACTACGTTATATAAGTAAATATTTCTGTATTTATGTGCAAATATTTTGAAAAATTTTTCATGTTGCCTTTAATTTTTTAAGTACATAGTCTTACCATAAGAAGTGATAGTAGAGCGTAATTTTTGAACCGGTCAACATAAAATTAAAAGGTCAATTGCGGTTTGTGCATACAGTCAGTGCCTATCATTGGTGCTGACCGCTTTTACTTGGCGTCACTAGGTCAAAAGTTAGAGAAGCGTAGCTACACGCGCGCGGCAATAATTTTTCACTTTTTGCACGAGAAAAAAATGCACGATGTTTGACGTAGTGTAGCAGTCCAAGTACAACTACGATCTGGTTGCCAAAACTATTAAAGTAATCCTAGAGACAGTGTCTATCTTTGGTATAAAGGTTTCGGTGGTCCAAGGTCAAGAAAGACTACAGTGATGTCCGAAGCTGTAAATACCAGAATAGCACAAAATCTCTATCTGATGCCGGAGATTTTAGCCACACAAATGACCTTCCAACTTTAGAGATCAGATTAGCACTGAAAAGTGACTCTAAGATGAAGGTCTTTTAGATTAGAAGGCGCCACATGCTACAGATTTCCAAGGCCTAAGCTAGGGTAAAAAATCGACCTCTCTCCCCAAATGGTACGGTGAAAAAACCAAAAAAAACTAACCCGTTTTATGTCAAATAGTCTAAGCGTTAGCTGATTACAAAATAGAGGTCAAAATGTTATCTTATCAGGCTCCATTCATGGTTTTGGTGGGAATCGGCAGAATTGAGCAAAAACAGCCCAATTTCCTTGATTAAGTAGAGGAGATAGTTTAAAAAAATATTTCATAAATGTCCTGGTGAAGAATGAACACCCCCTCAACTAGTCCATATTGGGTGAAAAACCACCGACCTTTGTGAAGGTGTCCACAGTAGCATTTACAGCGAAATTGGTGAAAAACTGGATTAAAATCCATATTTCTGACTTCATTTGCACTTTAGGTTTAACGTTGGAATTTTCGAACCGCAGACAACTTCACCACCAAATATTGACTAAAATTGAGGAAAAGATCTGGTCTGAGCCCCATATAAGTGTGTGGGTCACAAAAAAATTTCTGACCCGGGAATGATACACTTTGTCAATTAATTTCGTGCGTATTTTTGATGGAGCTTTCTCTTTCGTGACCAATTTTTCATGGTCACAGGAGGAATATATTTTCAAGTTTAAGACATGTTTTCTGCTTGAAATTTAACTGGCTTTTCAATGGAATAAGAATAAATTTGAAATTCCTTAAAACTAACCTAATATGGTCGTCTACTCTACTATCACTTTTTAAGTTGAGACTATGTATATAAAACTGGGAGTTGGGGCTAATCTTCGTAATTTGTGTAATATTGGAGTTCAAGCGTCGAGTAAAATACTGGTGACTTTGTTCAAAGTAAAAAATACAAAGATCGAAACATTTTTTATTTGTGTGAAGCCTCATATTTTCACTATATAGCAGGATTTCCAACAATTAATTAAGTATTTTATCCAAATTCTTAATATCGAGCCCCGGCAAGGCAATCTATTATAACACAATGGCCTATTATTAGTATCCTATATATTTACCTATATGAATATGGCTTATATAAATCACTGATCCATATCTTAACGAGATAAATGACTCGACTTCGTTTACGTCGAGGGGACGGTATGATTATTTAATACAAAAATTCTGAATAACCAAAGGCGTTCTACAATCGATGCAGTTCGAGCTAAACTTTAACTTAGGTAGGGAACTACCCATCACCCACCTTCGTAGCAACCTGTGCCCTTCAAACCCTATGACCTTGTTCTTCAATCCATGAAGTGCCCTTTGCTACGTGATGTTGATGCCGGACACGAGCGTAAAATCAAGGCCGTTATTTATCTCAGCATTCACACCGATTAAAGGAAATACCAAAAATCCAGGCATTTGTGTATCCTTGTGATGATTGATGCAGACGTACTGCACAAATAGTTGAAGTTCACGCGTATAAATTCGCCACTACGGACACGATTCTATGCATGAGAAAGTGGTTGTATTATTTTTCAAAAATTTGAATTCGTTTATAGAGACGAATGTATGTAGCCATTCATATCTCGACTCCGTTCTACATTTGAGGAACCCATACGGGCAGCACTTTAGCTATACAGGTGGCCAATTAGACTTACTGCAGACTAAATAAATTATTATAATTTTTAAAATTACTGAAATTCGTCTCTTTCCTATTCCCGTGCCAACAATAAATTAATAGTATTGTCAGTAATCCTTCCCAAAAAGTTAAGAAAATAATCCATCTCAATCCCATTCTGCATCGTTTTTACGGAATTTACGAATTCCAAATTGATTGAGTTTGGCAGAATTGCTTTCAAAACTCTCCTCCTATATGGATTCCTACCATGAATCTCTACCATTTCTCTGACAAATCCTTTAGATGCTGTCGAAGACTTCGCCATAAAGCAGATTGCAAACAATTCATTTATAAATCCCACCAGGATTAAATTGAGGCAAAGTGAGACGACTAGAAGCGACACCTTTGTTTCCGAGGTGAACTGAAGTATCGTGTAATACAAGGAAATCGTACAGAATGCAACAGCGTAGAAGTGATGCAAACAAGTTGACACTTGTCGACGGGCAGATTCTCCCAAAATTAAGGTCATTACGCGCAAACTTTTATATATTTTGAAGCTCGATGCGAAGCTAAGGGTCCCCTTAAGCACACCATCTGACGGAGAGATGTACAACGTCCATAAGTAGAGGGCAGAAATTCCGTATGCATTCAGGTATAGGATTACTTGGTAGACGGCAATTATTATGTTTGCTGTAAGGAAACATATTATGCACAGGGTGATCTTGATAAGCAGAGGAAAGTTGTCATCGGTAAGGTTAAGGGTTGATAATATTCCAACGTAGAGTGGATTATAGGTTGGCAGGGATATGCCGATACAAACGGTTGGAACGAGATATTCGAAGGAGAATGCGATTAACCGGAGTGAACTGCGGATTGAGGCGGTTGCTGAGATTACCCGAGGGCCAGCTTTGATCCCGCTATTCTGGAGAATTGTACCTGAAACATGTACATACATGCATAAATACACTATGCGGATATTCAGGCAGTCATTGGTTTTACAACTTACTAACTTGCAAAATCTAGAAGTTTTGTAAATTATATTATAAACTTTTACACAAGAAAGAAACGGCCATCATCTGAGTAAGTTTACGATAGATAATATGTTGGCTAATTTCCCATGGAAACGGGAATAAGAGTATGTGAAAGTTGGCAAAATTTACGAATTTTACATACATTGTTACAAAGGACTGCACAAATTGCTTTAATAAGGTAAGATAGGCGATTGATTTTCGACACAAACTTTTTGACTTTTACCGAGATTGAAAATCAAGATTTTTATCCTAAATTACCCATACAACACTAAATTTAACACTAGCGTAATTTATCATAGTGTTAAAGCCATAACTTCGCAATCTATCACACAGTAGAAAATCATACCATATTGCAAATCCCGTTCCATTTTCAGAATTGCTTCAAATATTCCCGCCACCTCAGCCACACCTTCCTTGCACCCCAGCATGTAAAGGAACGGCACCGCAATCCAGTACCAGAATGTTGCAGCGAAGGTGAAACACACCAATACCAAATTCTCCATGTTATCGAGATTCGTCGTCTTGACGAGGACGTAGCAACGCCAGGCAAGGAATGGCTCAATCATGGTGATTATAGTAAGAACAAAAAGCTGAAATGTTCTATAGTGGCGTCCCCGCGAGAGGGGAATGATTCGTCCCCGCCCGAAATTGCCATCTTTATTCCATTCAAAACAGAATGCGAGGTGTAACGTATTTCGTTGCATGACTTGTACAGTCCGACGTAAAAGGCGGAGAGCCTCATTGTGAAATAACATGATTATTCAAAGTTATGTATTACTTGTAGAAGTGTTAGAGAGGAGCAACCTTTTGGTTAGACTTGCCCAGCATGACTAGGACATATTACACAAATATGTCCCAGTTATTCTTGCTACGGGTACACTCTTGCAAATAATGTTATCCTTTTGAAAATTAAGTGCAGTCGCAATTTAACATTAAGTGAACTATGTATTCTGAATACAAGGCAATGCAAACTTGAGACCAACTCTGGATTTAGTATAGTTTATTTAATACTAAATTCAGATTGCAATTAATTTTCAAAAGGATAACATTGTTTTTAAGAATATACATACAACAAATGGAATACTTTATGTATTATTCACATGTATGTACAGTCAATGGAAAAAGTATTGGCAACCCTCACGCCAGCTAGGGTTGCCGCGGGTAACGGGTCGGGTACCCGTTACCCGCATACCCGCACAATTCTTGCGGGTACCCGTTATCTGCGGGTAGCGAGAGCTACCCGCACGGGTAACGGGTAGTTCTGTTTTTATTTAATTTTCGGCATAAATCAGTTCACAAAGTAAGTTAGCAGCAAATTAGTCCATTTACCAACAAAAGCGTCAATTTATTATTTATCCATTTCAAAATTTGCCATTTTACAACAGCTAGGGTGTATAACGAGCTTGTCTTTTCGGAAGCCACAGAAGCCTACGGCAGTCTCAAATACTTTTCACGCCCCGAAAATGCGGAGAAATTATTGTTTCTCAACCATAATTTGCCTGCTCTAAAATATGAGTAATAATTTGACTTGAATTTTTGTGTAAGACTGATGAGATTTTAATTTATACTTTAAAGGTGAAAAACCTGAATCTGATTGAAAGCAATAATGTTATTTGTATACAATTTTGTAATGAAAACTTCATTTATACCAAAATTTTAAAAAATCAAACTATGGATTGAACCTTGATCAAGCTACACCAAGATTGTCTAACGAGTATACATATTAATAAGTCAAGCAACACATTAGGAATACTTTCCGTTGAATGAT